CCTGGCCGCGGTGCCGCGGTGCCGCGGTGCCGTGACGCCGTGGTCGCGCATCGGCGTGCCTCAGAGCGACCTTGGCGGAGCTGCCTGGCCGCCTGGCCGCTGCACCTGCCTGCATTTCATTGGCGACGCGGAGACGCGGGGCCGCCAGCCCGGTCTGTCCGGTCCTGTCGGTCCCCGTCACTCTGTCTCGCTCGCACTCGTGCGGAACGCCCCATGAGTGCGAGAGGGACAGATCGACGATGCGGCCCACACCGCACCATTAACGAGTTTTATGCGACCGCGGGCCGGGCCGAAGCCTTAAGGCTTACAGTGCGGCTCTCGGCTGTCTCGGCTCGCGGCCCGCGCCTTGAGAAGAGTCCGCGTCCAGTGTCCGCAGCCGCGGCGGACGGCCAGGCCGGCCCCGCCCCCTCCAAGCATGCCCTAATGAAGCTCCATTCCCGCCGAGCCGTCTTCGATGGGTCACTCCGGTCTAATTACTCTGTACTGGTAACCATGGCAACCGGCTGAGGGGTGGAGGGGTACGCGCAGACTATTGACAACGGGGACTTCGAGAGGCCTGTGCCAATCACAGTCCTTTATTGGACCAGAGGCCTGTTGGCGAATTGGGACTTCCCCCGCCCCCCACCCCCGACCGTGCGCGCATTCTACCACCCTGCCCCCGGCCCGCCCCTCGGCCCATCCCTCGGCCCACTTGAGCCTCCAACTCCGCAACCCTTCCTCGGCCGGTGCGGCGCGGAGTTCCACTCCACATCAAAGAGGCATACCTCTCTTGAACCCTTTTAACCCGGGCGCGCCGCCCGGCCCGCGCGGCCCAGGTAGAACGACCGCGCCTAGCCAGAGCCAGCGGGCTCATGCCGATAGTCTAGCCCCGTCTCTCTCGCACTCATGGGGCGTCGCGGGGCGGGTAGTGCGACGAGAGAGACGGGGCGACGAGGCCGACTCTCGGAATCAGTCTGCAGGCCCGACCCGCCAAGGCCCGCCCAGCCCCCTGCAGTGCGGCGGTAATACTCGGCGCCAGAGTCATAGGGCGGCGCTGGAGCGGCACGGTCGTTTTGGCGGGAAATCGATGCCGATTGCGTCGGCCGTGCGCTGTGCCGTGTGCCGTGCGCCGCCACGCGGTTCTCTTTGATCGAGAGGAACTCGATGCGCGCCGCGCCGCCGCGATTCCAATCTGTAGCCCAGCAACGCCCAGCAACGCCCAGCAACGCCCAGCAACGCCCAGCAAGGTCAGAGCCGTCACACCGGGGCCAAAGCCAGGGGCGAGCTTTCGCGCTTTCGCGCTTTCCCCCTTGCCGATAGTATTGACGCTGTCTACCTGTCGCGTTGAACCAAAGCGGGGCTGGCAGGCCCGGCAGGCCGGGCCGGGGATTTGCCGGTAGACGTTCATTGCCGGGGGGAGCAGGTGGAAGGGGCGGCAGCCAGAGCCAGCAGGCTCATTCCGAGGCGTCGTCGCGCTGCGTCGCGCTGTCTCTGTCGCACTCACGGCCCGGCCCGTAGGGGTGCGAGGGAGACGAGTCCTCGGAATGGCTCGGCAGGCCGCGCCGGCCGCTAAAGATAGGCAACCCGGCAGGGGGTGTGCGGTCGCTCAAGCGGAAGGGGTGGGCGTGGCGGGGCGGGGGCGGGGCGGGCGGCGTACGGTGTGGCGGCGGGGCCAGACCTGATGGCGCCTAGCCGCAGGCGGCACGGCGTTCGCTAACTCGCCGCGCGTCGCGTTTAGTTTTCGCCGCGTGCTGTGTTGCGGTGAGGCGGGGCGGCGGGGCGGCGGGGACCCGTCGTCCAGCGGGTGCGAGAGAGCCGGCGGATGACACTGCGAGGATATGGATGTGACAATGGGAGTACGAGTGCTGTGTGGCGGCAGCGCGCAACGAGCGGACGGGCCTCGTGCCTCGTCACAGTCCAGCGCGGCTTGCTCGGCCAGCTCGGCCTCACAGTGTGACACAATGCCGCCGCTCGCCACTCTGGCCGGGCCGCGCAGGCCGGCTGCCACCGGAAGGGCCTCCATTGTGGCGGCACGGCGGCACGGCGGCACGCTCGGCGGCACGCTTCCTGTTTGCAGAAATGAAAGGGCGGCGCGATAAGGCAGCGCAGCGCCTCCCCGATAAGATAATGAGGATGCTCCATGCTTCGGCCATTCGCCGATCGATTCGGATTGCTCCGTTGCCACGCGACCAGCAATCTGGTTGCTCGGACTCAAATTTCAGTCGGAAATTGCGCATGGCAGGCAAAACGAAACGCGTGCTTTCCTTTTGAAACCTCCACTTTCGTATTTTTTTCTGGCGCGGTCCGACTGGGCAAATTATCGGCCTTTCCTGTCGAAGATGAATAATCGGCCTGACCCTCTCGACACCGATAGGTACATAGTGTGCCTGCTTCCTTGCCTGCGTGTCCTCGCGGGGGCAGCAAGGGCGGCAACCGCGGCGGGTCTTCCTCAAATCAACAAGTCAACGAGCAGGCGTTGGGACCAGGCGTGCGTGGGTCACCCAGTCACCAAGGAGGCGGAGGAAATGTCGAAATGTCGGTCGCAGACGGTCGCAGAGTATGACAGTGTGCTAGCTGCTTCCAGCCCACAGCGCTGCTGCTCTTGAGGACAGGTCGCAGCCAGCCTTCCAACTTCCAAGCCTAAGCTTCCGGCCCAGCCGCCCCGAATCAGCGAAATGGACCTCTGTGCAGCTGGCCAGAGGGGCGCCTGAAGCATGCCTGAAGCCTAAAGCCTGAAGCCGGGGGCGGGGGGCGGGGTGGGTTTGTCGCTAAGCTCCCCCCGTGCATCAGGCTTGCTGCGCTGCGCCCTCGCTGCGCCCTCGCGGCTGCTGCACTTTGATGACGCGGAGGGGCGGGGCGGGGCGGGGCGGGGCGGGGCGAGCGGAGCAACCACTCCTACCTGTCGCCCGGTAAGGCGGCACGGTCTCACACGCCGAAGTTAAGTCTGGCACGCGTCACGTAATACTCCGGCGCGGCGTGGCGTGGCGCCGTGATCGCGCATACTTGATCCCCTAATGAAATGCGAGCGCTGCGCCGCGCCATGTCACGCCGTTCCGTTCCGCCCGGACGTGGTATCGTCGTATCGTCGTCCTGGCTGCGAGTGCCCTTTTTGAAAGGGCCGTCACGTCGCGAGCGGGGCCGTGCCAGGCCTGCCACGGCCTGCCTGGGCTGAGCGGCACCTTATCAGGGTATTTGCCGAGCTCAGTCTTGTCGCGCACGGTAGCGCGGCAGCCGCCCGTCTCCGAGAGCCTCTCGCTCGCTCTCGTCGCACCTTTCTATCGCTGCCTGAGGCTGGAGCTAAGCCCCAGCCCCAGCCCCTGGGGGTGCACGCGCTACGCGCTCTTACCTAGAAAAGCGCAGTCGTGCTCGTCACGCGCGTTGCGTGTGGCGCTGAATCGCGGCCTCGGCGTGTCCTGCGAGTCCTGCGTGTCCCGCGGCGCCACGCCGTTACCTCATTAGACGCGACATCTCTGCTGCACTCACACACACGCACGCACACACGCACGTGCTCTACACTGCCGCGGGGCGTGCGGGGCGTGCGGGCATTGGTGGCGCTCGTTGTGCGTCGTTAGAAAAGCTCGCGCACGCACTCACTCACACACGCGCGCGCGCGCAGCTACAGGTGGACGAGGATGCCGACCATGCGGCGCGGTTTCGCGCGTGGCCGCGGTGCGCCGTGCCGCGAGCCTGACGTGCCGTCTGCCGTGGCGTCTGCCGTGGCGTCCTCCCCCCGCGACTGCCAGGTCACCACTGAGCAGGCGGAGGCGGCGCGGAGCGCGGAGCGGCGGAGCAAGGGGCCCAGCGACGGCGCGGGCCGCGGCGCTACGGTGCGCGCCGCCGCCCCCTTCCGAGCGCCCGGGCCAGCCCCGCCACCGGCCAGCCCGGCCAGGCCAGGCCATGGTAGGCATGCAGACTTGGTGGAGGCCCAGTCCTGGCCCAGGCGTGGTACCTGTGGTGACTTTGGTGCTGACACACACCGTGCCAGGCGCCGCGCTTGGCGCCGTGCGGCGCCGCGCTACGAGCCGCCCGGAAATTAGACGAACCGCGGTCTGACGTGGGGGTTGCCGCGGGCCGACTTGGCTTGGCTTCGTGGAGTTACGTTGGGGCGTCGAGATTTAGCCGGCGCCTTTGACCCCTTTGACCCTGCCGCCGCTTGCAGCAAGTCTACGCAGCGGGGCGGGGCGGCCTGAGCCGCTGGATTACACTTGGTTCTCCCCTGGGACTTCCCCCGCCACTGGGTCAGCACCAGTGCGCCAGCACCGCCCGGTCCTAGGTGGGCCTACCCTCGAGGACGGAGGGCTCGATGCGCGGCGGGCTCCAATCGCACGTTGCACTTGTACAGCACTTCCTGAATGGCGAAGCCGAAAGGCCGAAGGGGAAGGAAAAGAGATTCATGACCCGAGACGAGGGATGATACTTCAGACAGGCCGCGGGCCTCGTCCGTCTCTCTGTCTCTCTCACATCTTTACGGGACGCCCCGTGATCGCGAGAGAGACAGGGCGACAAAGACTCTCGGAATCAGTCTACCGACCTGCCCCTGCCTTCGCTAATCCTGAGCTGGCCAAGCTCACTAACCAGCAAATTTTATCTTTTCCGAGTGACGTTCATTCGCCAAACTCTGTTGCACATCGATCCCTTTCCATTCCATGCTTCCATACGCGTCGAGTCGAGGCAGGTCGGGGCGTCTGCATCCCGGTTGACCTGCACGTTCCTCTCCCCCCCCCTACTTTTGCCCTGTGCCTCAGGTAGACGCCCTCTCGCAGAGCCCCTCGGCGCCCTGCCCTGCGAGAAGCGCCCCCGCAGCCCCCGCAGCCCCCGCCGTCCCTTGTGACGCATGTGACCTCGGTTCTGACTTCCCTGCCCAGCGTGGCGCCTTTTTTGGGGAGCCAGCCCCGAGACCCGCGACAGCCCGAGACCGGCCTCGCCCCGCCCCGCGCCCCGCGAGCGCGCAGTGCAGTGCCCGCCCCGCCCCGGCCAGCCCCGCCCGCCCTCCGCCCCGGCGGCCCCTTTGTACTTTGCCGTGCACCGCGGACGCGGACTCCGCGGCCGCCATCTTGGGGCAGTGACAGCCAGCGAGCAGCAGCAGAAGCGGCCTGGCGCCTGGCCTGCCGAAATGGGCCGTCCTGTCAAAGTCCTGCTGCTGCTGGCGGTCGTGTACGGGTCGGTGCTCCTGGTGGCGAGCCTCGGCTACCAGCAGGACTGGAAGCGCATTGCGGCCTACAACATCGTCATGAGGGAGGTCTGCCATGAATGCGACGTCCTGTGTCCGAGGGCCCCGTACCCGACGTCGGACGAGGAGAGGGCCGTAAGTAGATTGTAGTTTTTCCTGGGGATTCTCGTGAAGGGATATCGATACAGTTTCACTGTATTCGCCGCGCTTTTGATGCCTCTCCGTATCATCGGGACCACAGAGACCCGAAGCTGTCATTAAGTTCCCTAGTTTGAGGGTTTTGAGGTTGTTTTGGGTTCATCTTCCTTGTTTTGTTTTGGATTTAGCTTGGCATCATCGAATGTTTTCTTTTGAGCCTCTCAGAATTTTTTTTGGTACCTAATTATAACTTTGTGGTTTAGGACATATCACAACAGTGGGCATGTTACATCGGATGCAGAACAACGTGTCTGCTTCAAATCGGACCAGAAAAATACAGTTACGAAACCGCTGTGGACTTGTGCTCCAGAGGTAATCAATTATTATATTTCATGACCTCACAATGTTTTGAGCTTATTTTAATGTCCTTACTTATCTTTCTCATGCAGGATGTCATGATGAATACCGAAATAGACCAGACCCAAACCGCGACAATAATCCGTACTTGAACGTATGCTTGGAAGCTTGTTCAGCCAAAGTGAGCAGCACTGGTGGAGGTTTGGATCCTCTAGATTCAATTGTATCAAAGGCAGTAAGTTTATTTTCATTGCACTTGAATACCTGTGTTACTTTCCTTGAAGTATGCTTGAACCCAACATTCATTGTTATGGCGTATTTGATGAAATGATTTCCTTTTCTTTTTACAGCTGTCTGATCCTGCATCACCAGATTTGCGTGAGTTTTGGATTACTACTTTTCTGTGCTTCTTCCTTTGTACTTTTTTATTTTAACTCTGAACACTTTTATCTTATCTTGATATTTTTGATTTGTTCTATTGTAGCTGATGAGCAAGAAACAGGTCCATTTGATCCAGCTCTTGGTGAACCGTACGCCCAAAATGGAGTTCTGCCACGTTCAAATTACAAAACCATTCCGCACAACAATGCTCCGTACCATGTGGCAGGAAATGGGAAAACCCCTGTCGAGTATTTTGTGAAATTTATTCGATATCCGACCACAGATCCTCTACTTGCTGGTGTTGTTGGCATTCCTCTATTCGTCCTTGTCATTGGGTTTGCTGCATATTATGTAGTTCTTCTGAGGAGACCACCAAACTTCAAAAATGATGATGCTGCTGAAAATTTGGACGAAGAGGTACCAGTGACTGTGCTTCGTGTTCATCTTGAGGCAGAACTTAAGAAAGTGCCCTCTTCCTCCGAATTTTCTGATGAAGAATTTGTCCCTCCACCCTCTCCACCTCCCAAGTATTCTGATGTTGTTCACAATGTGTAACTTGCAGCTGAACTTTATTTCTTCAGGGTGGTACTAATTTCTGTCAGTGTTTTTTTTTTTTTTTTTTTTTTTGTTGCTTTGTCAGTTTTTTGAGGGACTGGGAACATGCTCTGCATGCATATAATATACCTCAAGACCGATTTTAAAGTTCCCATCCTTTTTCTTCCTTTAAAACCGCAAGTCAGTAGTCATCACAGTTTCTTTGGCAGGAATGTTACCTGTCACTTAGTGTCTTTTAAGGTCTTTTTTATCCTACCTAAAATTTCTCACCAAAGATTTTACTGTTGCAAATCTTCACCATTCAAACAAAATTTAAAATGAAAGTTTTTAAATTTTTTTTCTGGTTTTACTGTAACATTAATTGGTATTGTGAACTTCTTATTTTCTGGGCATTATGTTCCGCCCATCTACTAAATTAAGTTGAAACTTAGATTATTGACAAGAAGTTTCTTTTTCTTGATCTTTCTGAGCAATATGGCAATATGAATTCATATTACAGTCTGTTTTTTATTCCCCTCTTTTTTATTGTGATATTGTAATTGTAATCAGTGTCTTTCTTTTTTTTTATAGTAGTTGTGGTGTAATATTGAGAATCCATTGGTGCAAATCACTTTTGGTGCCATTAACTAATTTGTGGCTTTGTTATGGTTTGTGATTTATTTGATACACATGTTAATTTAATGTTATGATCTCAAGTCTCTGGACACTGTTCAAAAGTTGTCTGGTGACCGTATATTTTAGTGTTGTGTCTTGTATCCGGCTCATCTTCAAATTTTCAGTTATCCCCTTAGACTAAAGTTTTTAACTTAATTGTGCAAACTTCAATTTTGTTTAGGAAAGCAAAAGGGAACCCTTCCTGTTGTTGATGAACTCAGTTAGGTCCCTTTTATGGTGTGTGAGTGCATTTTAATGTGCATCAGTATCTGTGTGCTTTGTGCAATTTTATCTAAGTCTTAGTTTGTGATAACACCTTTGTGACTGGCATTAGCCTTACTGCTATTATAGTGAAGGGTGTCTGGTTAAAATTGATTGCCTACTGTGGTGTGGTTTGATTCATTTTTCCCATTCCAAGAGACTGGTATTATGAAATATTAGGTCTTGAAGTATGCAGTATGTATCCATTTACCAGACTCTTTCACTATAAACTTTTAAGGAAGATATTTGGTTCTTGTGGTACCCTTGAGTTCCACACGACTTCCTAGTGCCCACTTAAAGTAAGGTTTATGCTGGATTCAAAGGTTCATTTAGAGTTTAACCTGGATTTAGTAGTTAGGGCACTGGAAAAGTAGGCGAGATGTAGTCTACAAGTATAACTTTTTGTGATAAATATTTTAATGAGAGACTGTCCTTCATTTACTTTATTGAAGCTGTGCAGGTGGAAACATAAGAGGATGAGATAAGAAGGCCTTGTAGCTGTAACATATTTTTATTTTGTATTGCAACTTGCACATTCAGTGCCAATACAATCACCAGAATTTTTCATATACTATGAAAAACAGCATCATTTGTTTTGTGTGCTTTTACCATGATACCCACTTTTGTGTAGAATACCCTTGATTAGGCAAGTGTTCATTCAACATTGACTCAACTTGTTTCCATTTTTTTTGTTTGATCTCAGTATCTTGCCATTTAACTCTATGTGGTGTATTCATGACCCAACAATTAGAGTTATTCTAAGTTTGCAGTCATTAGTAAGTAATCAATTCTACCGTTCTTATGCACTAAGATGTCATTTTAAGGCATTAATAAACCATATTAGGAAGACTTTAGCAGGAAAGAGCAAGGATATAGGAAATAAAAAGTATATAAAGTATTTGATGAATTTATTTTTAACACCAACATTTGGAAGAGAAAGTATTCAAAACCCAATAACTCTCAATTTATAAAAGAAGGCACTCTTGAAAGCAGCGAATGAATAGCAGAACCTCTCCTGAACTTGATGCAAATTTCAGAGGATCAATATTGCTAAATACAATTTTACAACCTATTTAACTAGACACATTTGGTACAAAGCAAGCACATTTCGTATAATATCAGTCTCAGTATCTTAAAAACTAGCCACAAACACAAATTTCAAGAATTGTCATTTTTCCTTCACCCAATTTAACATGGAGATTCAGAAGTTGGAACTAACAGCTGACTAGTTTATACAGGAAACGGTGGGAATCAATATGCATGACTGAAGCTGCAATTGTTAATTTACAAATTAAATCCTTACTAAATTAATCACTGAACTGACAACTGTAAATGTCACTTGACTAGAGGGACCCACATGTGCAAGACTCTGGCATTCTAAATGATGTGAAAAAAATAATTACATGCCTCTCTATTATCTGGAAAGTAATGCGGACTTCCATATTTGATGAACTCTATTTTTGTCATCAAAAAGACTGCGCACCATATACACCTGCAGACCACCAACCAACACCATAATAAAAACTTGAATGATGGACCAACGGTTAACAAGTTCAAAATTGCCTTCAATAAAGTTACGATCTCGTGCTTCATAGGCTCTCATAACATCCTGCATTTGCCGAACAGATGACAGAAGTGTATGGACACGAGTGATGGATTGTTTCAGCTCATCAACAGTCATTTCATACTTCTCAACAACAGAATCTACGTCTAGATTGCCCTCTAAACCATTTTTAAACCAATCGTCTTGATCCTGGTCGAGCAAAAATTCGAAAAATACAGTCTTTGAGTTGAAGCGAGAAATGGAATTGTCCCAGCACATCTTGTAGTCTCCATCCTCTGTAGCTTCGTGCCTGTGACTGTTTTCAGCCTTTTTGAAGTCAGACACAATCTGTCTCCCTGAAGGAGCGCTCCAGTGGAAATTAATGTCCAATTCGCCGCGGTCACCGTCGATCACTTGGTACTCGACGTCCATAACCTGGCCGGCTTTCACGGTCTCGTAAAAGCATTCCGAGACTCCAGCTTCCACGTTCACAGTGAATTCCTTTAACAGACCGAAGCTTGCTGAAAGCTGAAGCAGCACAAGCGCGGCTGATGACCACACGTTAGTCCTGTTTATCTTCATGTTCACTATTTGGCTGTGCCCGATTCACTTGGAAGCAATCACAATCACACAAAAAAATAAATAAAGCCACAAAGGGAATTTTGCTCTGTGTCGAGAGACTTTGCCCGCCCGCGGGTTGGTTCCTGTCGTGTCGTCTGCTTTCCAAAACAATAACAAACAACAACAAAAACAGCTTTGGCGGCATGCATGCGCTACAACCACTCATGCCGCGATCACATTTTAACTTGTTTTAGCTCGTGCACTTCATCGCAATTCCATTCTGTAGGCTTCATACATCTGCCGTAGTCTCTCTGAATTGTTGAGTTGTAGCTACGTTCGCTTTGCTTGCTCAAACAAGCAGTCAAACAAGACGCACGTGTGTTGTTGTCAACTCAAATCAGTTGCTTTTACTCTTCGTTTTTCTGTGCTGTACTTAAGGACACCATTCAGAATGCAAGGTGAAATAGGTACTAACATCCTTTTGCCTATTTGTGTGGTGGATAAATCATGGTCCAATTTTCTCGAATTTTCATCTTCAAATCATAACCTAATCCGTTTCTGGCTTGTTCTGTATTTCAGAAAACAATGCGGTGGAGATTTTGTATCGTGACCTAGTTGGTGAATTCTCTCATTATAGGAGTGAAGGGATATCAACTCTCAGATCTCTTCCTCATTGGTCTCTTCCTGCTCCAAATTTGAATACAAATACTTCATCTCACATCCCACCGCGCTCAAGATTTCAGTTCAAGGTTCGACGACCAAGACCATTCTCATTACCTTCAAATGTTAATCCATTAAGTATGATTTTAAGCTCCTGGTTTCCTATTACCAACATCTTGGCTCTTAATTAATTGAATTATCTCTTGATTATCTCAGACTATTGGGATGGTGATCCATTTGACCAAATGGTGATCATTAAAAAGAAATGGGAATCTCACAGAGATTATCTCATTCGTCGAGCCAGGCAGGGACATAAGTTTTCAGGTATATTTATTCCCATAAAACTCTTTGTTGCTTTTTGTTTGGTGTTTCAATTTATAACTGGCTAAAGACGCTACACCAGCACTCATAGGCCTTTTGGCCGTTTTCATTGATTCCTTGGTGGGGTTTGTTTAACAATGCAATTAACAGAAAATAGAACCTCGCGAGTGTAGCAACTTTGCCTAGCTCTACTTGCACATATGGACAGCCAATAGAAACAGAACATGGTGTTTCCTTTGACTGTGTGCGAGTGAACCTTTGCAGCCACCTAAACCATACGCCATCTTTCCGAAACTAAATATGCCCTTTTCTTTGTTTTTTTTTGTTAGCTGAAAATGATCTGGATGTAAATAGAGTGAAAAAGAATGATAAGAAGAAGCATATTTATTCTGTGGCTACCCATTTGGATCTTGTTCAGCATATAGAGAAAGACCCATATCCAGCTTTTTCTGGAGTAAGAAAGCGCTTTTAAATTTAATTAAGAACTCTTGTGAGGATGGATTTGACCCACTCCATGTCTTTTTTTCACAGAATTATAATTGGTTTTACACTGGAGGATGTATCACCAGCTGTACTGTTAATGGAGAAAGGTTTTTACTTTATCCTGGTGGGAAAAATATGGACACTCTTTGTGAGTAGAATTTCATACATCCACAGAGATGAATTCTAAATGTAGAGTTGTTCATTGATGTCATGTGTATGTGTAACAGGTGTGAACCAGCAACAGGTGGCTGAAGATGAAAACCAAGTGTGCACTTCTTTATCTCTTTGTGAAGGCCAGAGAATTCATCAAATAGTTGAGAATAAAGGTTACTTTTCTGGTTTTTATTTGTTGAAAGCAATGTTCCTAGACATGAGGAATAACAATCTGAGATTGAATGCAACCTCTTATGATATGAATTTTTCTAGGGTTGGTTGGAATAAAGCAAGAAAAAGTTTGCTCTCTTGCACGGATAAAGTATGGATCAAATAAGCCACTCTCTGCTCAAACTCGCTTAGAAATTCAAGAGGAAGAGGGATTTTTTGTGAGCGTTGATTTGGGACGATTAGAGGGCAAACAAATGTGTACCACTAACTCAAAGATGCAAATTAAGTTGTGGGACCTTTCAACAAGGTAAGTGTGATGTGACTTGTTTGGTGGTCTTCATTTTCAAGATAGGAGCTTGACTGGCAATTTAAATTTCTAGTTCATGTTTATCTACTGCTAAAGTTCCGCTCTCTGACAACCTATCAAATGCCTCTTGTTGGAGTTTTGTTAAATTTAACAATAAATCACCAGAGCTGTTTGTCTTGGATAGAAGCACTGTTTTTGTTAAAGATTTGAGGGTAAGTTGCAGTGCTGATCAGTGCAAAATTGATTACAACTTTCAAATAGAAAAAAAAAAAAGTTTCTTTTTTTTTGTTTATTTTTCTCAACAGATGCCCTTTTCGGAAAATTGTATGGAATTTTCACCAAGAGAGATAATAGATGACTGTGAGGAAATTTCTCTCTTGCTGAATTCTGTAGGTCAACAATTAGTGTATGTCGCTTCAACACACAAATTGCTAAGTCTTGATGTTCGATCTGGTTGGTGTCAACGCTGGACCCATCTTATGGAAGCACCACCAATGTATGGGTCAATATACTGCGATGAAAGGTAAGGATCTTTTCCCTGTCCAGTCATACATTTTAGGATGTGTATATCATGGTGTGAAATGATTTGTTCAAGGAATTTGGAGGAGGTGATTTTGCTGAGCAGTTCTATCCCTGATGATTCTGTTGCCATAGTTAACTCATGGAGGAAGGGAGAGCCAACGTCAGAAATTTTACCACGAAGTTTTCAGTCTCTAAAGGACACTTTGATACTTGCACGATCCCGTGGACAGTGTCTTGGAGTGTCATTGAAGCAAAGGTGCAGAAAGTCTTTGCTCTACTGCTCTTCCTATAGTCCGTCACTGTACTCACTTAAAATTGTTGTTATTGTGACAGATTGGATATGGCTACATCTGGCCTAACAGTTGTTCCAACAGAAGACAATGATGGCTTCACTGCATTTAAGTCCACATCTATAGGAGATGTGTTCTATCAACAGTTTGAGAGTGATCCAAGTGCACTTGACTCAACTGAGTCTGCATACTCCAAGGACGAAATAGATGCAGATGTTGAAGCATGGAAAAGATGGTCAAAGGCCAATGATGTGATATGCTCTCAGAATAAAGTGGATTTGCATTGTCCAGTATACTCACATGATTTTTTGTTTAATTGTAAGTTTCATTTATTACCTTAAGGTAAGAGATCGTAACAATCTATTTCATCTGTAATAATCAAATGTTTAATTTGTTTCTTTTGCAGCCATAAAAAAACCAATGCCAAAATCTCGCAAGTATCCTTACTACAAGGTTGTTGAAACATGGCATCAGTCATTTCCCGAGAAAAAAAGAAGGTTACTCAATAAAAAGAACTTCCCTTTTGAACGTGACTCAGTACCACTTCGTGCTATATTGAGTGATTTAAGCACTTATTCTGATTTGATGGCACGCATTCTATTGAACGCTTGGGACTCTGAGGGCCTTTATGGTGAACCTCAACCAGCCAAGAATGTGGAAGACTGGTTGAATAGTATTCCTGTGTCCAGCAATGGTAAGTAAACACAATTTTTAAAACCATGTCAATTGATAGACATCTTTCATGTCCTCTGCTGACCTAACTGTTGTCTGCAGCATCAATGGATGAAGATGAGTTCAGCTTAAATAGAAGTCTTCGTTCCATTAGTCCTCAGCCGTCTTTCTCCGGAAGTTTGGGTTCCATAACTCCTCAGCCTTCTTTTTCCAGAAGTGTACGTTCAGTTACTTCCCAACCCTTAAGTTTAATGTCAATGTTGGATAGAGATGACTTTAAAATACCAGCTCCGCCTTCTAAGAAAAGAAAGAGGGAAAGTATGGGATTTTGAAGTTTCTTCGCGGACTGTTTCAAGTGATAAATACTAACCCTTCCCTACAAAATAAGCAGAATGAAAATAAGGTTGCCAGAAATACACATTTCTGTTGCACTATTAAACAGATGAGTTTGGTATTCTATTCTTGTATTCTATTTTTATGAATCTTTTCCCTCATGGTAAGATCAGTCCCACTACAGTAGTGGTAAATCTCACCCTCCTGCTAACATGTTAATGGTAGTTCCATTTCTGGGTAACATAAGAGAGATTATGAATTAAATGCATTATTACGTCTGGTAGTTTATTATTGTATAGTCTAGATCAAGGTTGTATCTATACTATGTACCTTGATCCTGATTGGTGAAATAACAATATTTCATTTTTTCCAAACTTTAAGCTCTGTTTCCATTCGCTCTAGTTTCATCTGAAGCCAACTATTTATGAACATGACATTATGTTTGCCAAACCTTCCAATCAAATTATGCTTGATTTTAAAGGAAAACAAAAAATGCTGGATAGAAAGAGATTAGTAAGATTTTGGAATGCACAGTTAAAAACGAATGGGTAAGAAATGGTGTCCCAGTAAAAATAATTTAAACCAACAGTGCCAAATTAGGTTAATCTGGGCTGAGGAAATACTGACTGCAGGTGATTAAAAAGAAAACAAGATCTATTGGTATATCTTGATGCATAATGGCATGGTTCAAAAGGAAAGGACATTAATTGTAATCTTCTGAATTTCCTACCAAGTTTATGTGTGATGAATACCAGCGAGGCAAGCAAGGAGACAGACTAGTTGAGAAATTCAGCAAACATAAGAAAAAGAGAGAACTTTCGTAAAAAGGCACAACTTTTTTACATACTTATCATTAAAACAATTCAATGAGAATAAATAAAATTTCTCGAGTATGAAAACATCCTAACACATTTGTCAACCAAAAATACAACGGCTTTATCACCTGAAGGGTATTGTGATCCATATCTGGTCAATGTGATGATTACTAGCATAAAAGCCTACTTTCAACATCTCAGAAGCTCAGTGCGGGATATGGATGTACCCACTAACTAAAGCAACCCTTGTTCTTTGAAAAAACATAATGACAGGACTATTTACATATATTTAACATGATATACCTCTATAAAGGAGATAATAGCTCATCCAAGCCAAGCATCACAGAGCATTAAATGTGGATACTCACACCACAATACAAGCAGAAATACCATACACGGGAAGGATGTAAACTTAGAACATTATTAACATGCATATTCATCAATATCATAAGTAGAATTTGTAAAACAGTTGAGTGACATCCGTTTGAAAGCCAATTGCATAATTATACAATGCACTAAATTAAAAACAAAATAACAATTAATTTTACCAGTACACTTCTTCAAGGAATGTGCACTCATTAAGGGAACGGTAACAAGAAAAAAATTATATTGATAATCAACATACACAAAAACTAATAGCGGCAATACTATGGAGTGAGCGAGATGATTAAAAATAAATCAGAGTTATAGAATTTGATAAACATTATTTTCCAAAGAAAACTAAACACACACAGCAAAGAATAATTGGGCAGACCTACCTGTTTTAGTCAAAATGTTTTGGCATTATTGATCACATAAGCTATGGAATGTGACAAATCAATAGTGTCATGAGAATGAGATAAGAGTGCTCTACTCTCACAACTGTGAACATAATGTGTACTTAATACAGCATAAAATTTCAACATCCCATAATATTCATAAAAATACGATAAAATCTCAATACAGTGCAATTTTAACAATCACCACAGATCAATAATTAAGAGCTACAAATCATCTGCTGCATGAGCATTTTTTACACATAACATCAAAGAAATACATATACATACATAAACAAACACACCTACATATTATTGCAACATTCCAAAGTCACCACAGGAAGCTAGTTTCTTGTAGTGTAAGAGTAATAATAACCACCTCTCATCCAGAAACAAGCTGTGTTCTTTATAAGAAACAGACTGCATTCTTTACAATAGTATTCTTTGAGGTCTTTTGAGGATCACATACTTTGTCTAAATAATATGATAACGAGTGCACTGAGATCAAATACATACATACATAGCAGCCAGGTCAGTGAGATTGCCCACTTTATCTGCTGGCAGTTACACACATGCAGTCAAATATGACCACCTTGCTTCATTCTTAAAATTGAACAAAGTTAAACGCATATTAAGAATCCAATCATCAACAGTGATTACTTTTCTTAAAGCTAAAAATGCAAGTTCAATTTTAAAGCTAGTCTGGAGTTGTCATGACACTCAGGATTGAAGGAAACTGAGTGTTTGTGAGTCACTGAGAAACTTGACCTTCAACAAGCATTAACAGGAACTCCTAAGGGGCGAAATTCAAACATTTCTGCATTTATCTCATAAAATGACTCATGATGGCAAAAGAAGCAAAGGAGAAAAATGAAATAATGTATTTTAACCAAACATATTTTGCTGACCAGCGTCGTTTTCAAAGTCTGACCAGGCATTGTTGAGTTCCATGAACACAAGCTTGGCCATATTTTCATTTGGCGTACCCATTTGCTGAAACAAAATAACAAAACTGTCAGTAATAATTATTTGTTTGTTAAAGTTTTATTCCCTTTAAGCACTGGTGTGGTTGACACATGCTTTTATCTCATAATTTACAGCATGTACAGACGTCAAAATGCTTACTTTGTCAGGATGCACTGCAAGACAAGCTTTGCGGTAGGCCTTCTTTACATCAGCTGCTGACACCAACTGGTGCATTTCTACTTTGTTCCACTTGGCATCATCCCACAGCACCATGTGCATAGAGCATAACAATGCTCTAATATTATTCTTCTTCCCTTCTTTCCATTCCATTATCTACAAACAGGTGAGAGAAATGGTTCAGTTGTTATTCCAAAGAATGGTCACGCAATAAATTGTGCAAGATAAAGGAAAACTTATATACCTTCAGTGTCTCAGGATCCATCTCTCTAACCAATTCTTCTTTACGCATCTCATTAATTGTACGAGGGCCAGCATCTCTCTTCGTTGAAAACTCGTACCCTTGACTTCCAAGGAGGTCACCAAACACATCTCCAGACCCTTTGGCTCCGGCTTTTCCTTTACCTGATAGAGCAAAAGGTATGACATTTGGGTGAACAAATGCTTAAGCATAAGATACAACATAAGAGATCTTTGGTTCCAAGACTGCTTTTTAAACTGTCTGAACAGCCATGTTATTGTCAAACATGCTTGATTTTATCTGATTCCTTAATTACTGGAATTATTCCAACCGACAGTCTGACTACACATTACACTGATGAACCCTTCAAGTTTGCCCAAAAAGGGCTTACCTGAGTCAGATGGTTTGAATGCAGTATCAAAATGTGAACGGCTGTAGTCTGGCCTGCTTGGACCATCCATGGGAGACTTCATTTGATGCACTGGAGTGCCCGTTGGAGTCATTCCGGGCATAGGGCTGGTAGCACCCTGAGCAGCATTCCAGTTAGTGGATCTGTGTTGTGGACTACCATTCATTGGTGACGTAGGCTTTGATCCTCCAGTGGCCCAGCCACTTGCAGGACTGCTACTTGCACCTAAAGTTGCTCCCAAATTGCCTGGACCAAGAAATGACAACAACCACAGGTTAAAGTTTTGCAAGAAGAAAAGAAAAAAAAAAGCAAAGAGAGTACAAGAGGTTTGTGTGGTGTTCAGATGCAACTACCTAAATCAGCAAATGGGTCCCGTTTTCCATTATCTAAATTTGGTGTACTTCCATTGCGTGGCATTGAGCCTGCAGGGCTTACTAAAGGAGAGCTCTGCTGTTGAGGTTTCATGAAAGTACTATTTATTCCCCCAATTCCTGCACTCACTCCACCAACACTGCTTGCTGTAGCTGAGTTAGTCATTCCATTGATAAAACTCTGGAGTGAATAAATAATAGATGTATTAAAACACACAGTAAATGCAAAAGAAATTTTAATAATAATAATAAGTACATACCTGCGAGCTAGCACCAAATGGATCCAGCATGATACTTGGCTCAGTTGGTTTCTGAGGAGTTGGTGCAGCCTGACTTTTTTGTTGAGAGTTTGGGGATGTTGACATGGAACTTTCCAATAACTCATCCAGGAAGCCCCTTGACTGACTTGGAGTAGGTACATTGCTAGATGTTGACCCACTCACAAACCCACCCAGTAGATCAACATTACTTGAATCACTAATCCCTTCTGCAATACAGAAAAAGTTAGTTTTTTGAAAATATTTCTTGCTGGCAGTATTTAACTGGAATAGTGAAGTTGGTTCTACACTATATTAGAAATATTTACCAGCAATGTTAAGCAGGTCAACTCCGTGAGTATTTCCTGAAACAGTATCAATTGATGTCGATGTTGAGGAAGCTGCATTTCCGCCACCCAGGTTTAGAAGATCTGCTTCTTCCTCTAAATGACTTTCAACGCCTTCTGGTGGCTCCTACAAAATAAACATTTTCAATGTAACTATATGAACAAGAGCGGATGTAACACTACTCAAAATAACATACCTGAGGTACAGTGTCACTGAACTCCTGAACATTATTAGTTTCTATGTGTGGTGGTGGTGGTTTGGGTGGAGGTGGCCTTGAGGATGGTCTAGGAGGTGGAGTGTTATTTTGATTTCTAGGAGCAGTTGCTGGCCGCGTAACTAAAATGCAAAGGAGAATAGCTTTGAAATAATGTGGATGACCCCAAACATTGATTGTATTGAAAATGACCAAATTGCTCACCAAAACTGTCAAAGCATTCATCTCTTTCAATACGAGAAGAAAAAAGAAGTTCGACTGATGCATTTCGGGATGCATGAGACTCCCATAATGGACGTTGGGAAGGTTGCTGTGGGTTACTTCCAACACTAATTTGAACAAGAACCTCAAATTTGTCTTGATAATGTTCTGGATCAGCCATGTCATCCAAAACATTCCTGTACAATGTTACATCAAGGGTCAAAGAGCGTTTCAAAGCTGTGGTCAACCACATTGCAATAGACAATCATCACTATTGTAGAAATAACTATACCTGTTGAAGGTCAAGCTAGTTTCATTTTCCTGAATGAATCCAGAGTGGAACTGCACCTGGGCAATTTTGATGCCTGTTGGCTTTCCTTGGCTCATCACACCACCGAGCATGTTGCGAGCATGGTAGGCAACAATGGTTATGTCACCAATTAAGGTAACATTTAGAGGTATTGTGATCTAAAGGGGCCATCAATAAAAGATAAGACAACAGAAAAACTGTTTTAAAATATAAATTGCAATTTAATTACTTACCCTCCCTTCAGTTACATTAAATAGGCGCATTCTTTCATAATCTTGCATAGTAGATAGTACTCGATCGTCACCCTGATGGACTTCAATGAATGGCCTGCATCCATCTCTGCAAGATAAAAGATACAAAAATTAGTTTTCTGCTACCTATCTCAAATTTATCAATGAATTAAACTGATTGAACACACCTGACTTTCGTAAACAGAGGAATAGGTTGGAGTGTAACATTAGCTAAGGTAATGGGTCTTGAGTGGGGGATCAAAGGTATGCTGTTTGTTGGGCTTGGTTTTAAAACTGCAGAGAAGTAATGCAAATATCTGCAGAGAAAGCAATTAAAGTTAAGAAGAAACAAGATACAACAAACCAAGAGATTAACAAATGGAGTACATCACAAACAAACCTCATGTGCGATGGTCTTATACTTGGAGGCATTCTCTTCACAGCAAACATTTGAGCAGCATCCTCAGGCCTCTCAAATAGATCAACAAATATCAAAAACGCACAGATAAGCAATGCGGAGTTTGCCTTTCCATCCTTCACAAGAACAAAAGAGATTTTTAAATGTGTGATAAGAACCATAACCATGAAGTATTCCCTAAATCACATTAAGCCTTCATGTTTGAAAGAACATTCATATTTTCTTACCGTGCAGTGAACAACACAGACATTCTTTGAGTCGGCCTCTAAAAATATTTGCATATCACAACAGATTTTGTAAATGGATGACAGCGAAGGAGTTCTGTGTAAAGGGCCTCCTGGCCAACAGCAGTCTGTGACCTACAAGATTCAAGAACCTCACTGTGATGATTCAAAGTATCGAAAAAGCAAAGCTGAATTTAGCCAGACGTATACTTACTCTTCCTGAGCCTAATCTACCAGGAGGGTAACTGCGACCAGAAACATTGTATATGCAATAGCGACCCATGTGTCTTGCCTCCAGTAAAGCTCTAATGTCCTCAGCATTATTTGTTCTGTAAGCAGTCTCCAAACCTTCAGCTGGGTAAGGCATGACCAGAAGACGAGAAGTAATGTAGCTTAGATCCAAGTCGGATCGAGCAATGCTTCTGTGAGAAAAGAGATTTGAAATAGCAAATTATGCAAAAATGTTGATATTAAAGTTTGTGAATGACAGACACAACCAATCCACTTACTGTTGAACGGTGTGCATGACTTTAGTAGAAGTATCTTTCAAATTCTTTAAAAAGCTCCCCGCACCACCTTTAATTGAGGAGAAAAGTCCACCACCACTTCCAGGTGTCATCTGTCAAGGTTAAAAATCATAAAAATTAAATTAGCCACTTTTGGTTTGAAAAGATAATAAAAAATTTATGTAAATACAGTAGTAACAGAATCATTAAAAGAAAGGAAATACCCATCATGACAGGATTATATGCAAAGCAAAGAAGCAAAAAGTACAACAAAATAAGAGCGATAGAGCTACGCTTTGAAAGTTCCAAACCACCACAACCATTGAAGATTATGACACATTGAGATGAACAAACACATACATTACTAAAAACTTTCCAGCCACTAGAACTAGAAGCCTGAGACTCCCCCACCTGAGGACCAGAAAATCTCTGAGGTGGAGTGTGATGCTGTGGGGTGGGTGAAGGCTGCCTTGCCGGAGACACGGCGGGTCTAGGAGGTAGTGGCTTTTGAGGTGGAGTGGAGTTAGAGGATGTCCTTGGTGGTGCTGATGGAGATTGGCCTGAAAAAGAGCCAAGGTGACCATTAGTATACCTATTTACCTTGATGAAAAATATAAGTAATTTCAACACACCTGCTTGAGTCTGTGCCTGCTGTTGGTATTGGGCAACAGATGCAGCGTCTAGCCTTTTCCCCTCTAAATTGAGGGGCTCCTTCAAGTTAAACCCTCTGGTATCTGCTACTGCTGCTACTTGGCCAAGAACATCAGCTACACTTGCTCTTTCAGCTGGATTTACTTTTAAACAAGATCCTGGAAGATGAGGAAAATAAAATAAAAATAAGGAACATAAGGATGATTTGGAGGAAATGTCCTCATTGATTAGACAGCAAATAAATAACTGATGAGATTATCTTACTAATTATTGAATGAAAATCCTGGTAGGTAGTTTCTGCAGGGATAACAAAATTAGCATTTATAATGCGTAACTTGGCAGAATCTTCAAAGGGATGCTTCATGAAGCACAACATATACACAATACAGCCTAGAGCCCAAACATCACTTGCTGGGCCTATAGGGTAATTGCTCCAGGTATCAAGCATCTCAGGAGCACGGTACATTGGAGTCGTAAATCGGCCCATCTGAAATTGAACACTGAAATGCTTAAGAAATCAACAAAGAAAGTTAAAAGAACCAAAATGTAAGAAATTGTACCTCATCTTCAAGAAGTGATCTCTGAGCTGCTGACCATGATACATCAACATTCCATGTTTGGGCAGTTGAACTACCAAAGTCACAAAGTTTTAATAGTCCATCAGATCCAAGTAAAAGATTTTCAATCTGGTAAAAAAGTTGTTATGTGTTTAGAATGTGATCAAATGCATGCAATAAACAAAATGAGAACATAATTGGTGTCTATTCCACCTTCAAATCTCGATGTGTGATGGGAGGCTCTTGACTGTGCATATGTTGAACAGCTCGGCATGCTTGATATACAATTCGACAGACTACATCTGGAGGCAAAGGCTTTGTACGGGCTTTCAGGACATCAACTAAGCTTCCACCTGAACAAGATGAGAAAAATTAAAATTTCAATCTCCTTCACAATTCCAGTTTTACACCAGATTTAAAGACACACTTACCAGCACACAATTCTGTCACCAATAAATACTCCTTCATACCATGTGCTGTTTTATCCTTGTCAATAAAAGAGGCAGATAAGAATTGGAGTATGTTGGGATGGCCTGATAGTCTCTTCAAAATATTGATTTCTTGAATAATATTTTTGTTTGCCTCCTCATCAGCTGCCATGAGCCTCTGTAAATATTCACAGAAAGAAGGCTCATCAATGGAACAATAAATGTGGTATTTCAAAAAGAGGTATATCACTGGGTTTCTATCTTTGAATGAATGGGGCTGCAGTTGAATGAGAGGGTCAAACAATCACATTGGCGAAATGATATAGGAACAGGAAAAGAGGAAGGGGATGTAAATTAGGACAAAGATTAAATTTACTAGGAAAAGGGTTTGTTTACAATTGTGCTACTTCTAGCATGACCTTGACAGCTGCATTACATGAGAAAGTTGAAGTTACCACCAAGAGCAAACTACCACCCGGACACATTTAAAAAATAAGTTAGAAGTAGTGATAGTGGCCGGCATCAATGCCTTACCTTGAGTGCATATTCTTTGCCGCTGTTGGGATCTTGGGCAACGAAAACAAAAGCAAAGCCACCTGCAAACATAACCACAATCTTGACAGAAGGGTTTGACATTTCATTTCACAAAAAATGGCACCAATTTATTGAAAATAATCAAACAAGATTGAAAAGGACAACCGTAGGTTCAAAAATGCTACGATGACATTTCTCTCATCCCGACAATTAAAAGTAATAGAAATTCATAGGGTGTAAGAAATAATGAACTTACCTTCAGCTATCACTCTTTTAACACGAAGTTTGACATTTCCTATTTCCACCTCATGACCCACAAAATCGTTGTCTATGTGATCAGTATTGCTGTTGCTAAAATAGCCTATCGCTGACTTAAAAAGATCAGACATTTTGACTGAATTTCACGAAGTATCACAGCATGTTAACGTTAACGCGAATCTACCACCAGTGACAACCCCCTTTTTCGACAGACAGGTCAGACACGACAAGAGGAGGGGGGAGGGGGAGGAAGAGGTTAGAAAGAAAGTGATAGATTCAGATTCACTTTAAGGAAATGTAGCAGCAAAATGAAAAATTGAAGTGACGTTTCGTAGTATGAGAAATTAATCACGTTAATTTCTTTCTTATGATTCCAGATAAAAATACCGATAGGAACATTCTACTAACACGCTTTAGGTGTCATTATCAATACCAATGGTATTGCTAAACAATGAAACAGAGTTGGCAGCACACACACAGATAACATGGTAAAAATCAAAATATCTCCCTTCTGCATTGCCGGTCGGGCAACACCCATCTTGTTCCGCCCCTGTGCCTCTTTCGCTGTTGGCTGCTGTCGCCTGTCGTCGCAGTGAATCAGAGTTGACAAAACATCCGCAACCTGCCGATTTTGTTGTGGTGTTATCATCAATGAAAGTCAAGATGCATTATTTGTGCTGAAATGAGTGTGTTTGGGGATTTTAGACGGGTCTGGGTGAAACGTTTTCCCAACAGTGACCTGCCAGCAGCTTGGGAAGAGGATGTGAGGGCCAACTTAGCCAAACACAAACAAAAGGTCGCCGTCCTGAGGGAGGAGCTCGAGAAGGAAGAATTCTACGTCGAGTATTTGGAACGCCTTCTCCAGGATGTGGCTGCCAGCAAGAGAGAGAACAGCGTGGAGCCGGCACCGCGCAAGGTGACCGACGGCAACAGGGGCCGGAGTCACAGAAATCAGGTGGGGTTAGGGTCGTCTGTAGGGGATGACGACAATTCGGACGAGTTCGACTCCAGGATCATCAAGTCCGGCAGCAAGGACTCGATCGACCAGTGCATTTCAGAGCTGTCTCGCGGCCTGTCGGAGACGGACCTTTCGTCCCCGTCGTCCCCGTCGCAGCCTGTTCAGAATTCGTCCCCTAACAGTCATGAGGCTCATGAGGCCCTGGAGCAGGAGGTGGCCCCCATCCAGGAAGAAACCAGCACAGGCATTTCCCCAGACCCCTCCAATTACATCACAGTTATTGAGGTGAACAGCGTTAACGCTAAAGGTGACAAGAATAATGGTGTTTCTGAGAAGCAAAGTCCTCCTTCCAGCAGTCCAACTGTCAATCAAGCGGCACCTGTCAGAAAGGTTTGTTGCTTTGAGTACAGGGGTTGATGTTTGTTTATGTGGTCCTCTTGATGAATGTTTAAAGATTACAAGTGCTCGTCTATTATCAATTCAATAATGGAAATGATTTTTGGTTTTAGGCTCCTCCTATTCCACCTCCTAAAAGATTCAGTAAATGCAAAGACGCAAGCCCTGAAGCACCTGTCAGCCCAGCTGAAGCTAAAAAGCGCAAGGAAGAAGAAGACGCTGCTGTTGCGGCATTGAATGAGGCTGTGGAGGCTGCCGAGGCATCTCAAAGTGCGCTCGATGCTGCCCTTGATAAGGACCCCGATTACAGGGATCCCATTGATTTGGTTGAAGATGAAGAGGAGGAAGAGCCGTATTATGACTCTGTGCCTTTAGATGGTGGTATGTGATTGGCTTTTATTTGCTTATTATTTTTATCTAGTAATTCAATTTTGAAAATTATGTAATTAACCAAGATATGGTATGGTTTCCTTCAGGTCTAGTTTCTGATGTTGATGAATCAGAGTTTACGGAAGACAGTGAAGATGCTAAAAGTGCGACTTTGCCAAGCCATGCATGGCTGCAAAATAAAGGTGCCTCACCATCTCCTGTTTTTACTTGTGAGCCAGAGAGTCCTGGCAAGAACTCAAATTATGTCAATATTGATTATTTTATCATGTAAGTCAACATTTGTCCAATTGCACTTTTAATTAACTCAAAAGTTTTTCTCTACTTTGATTAACTGACATTGAAATTGTTCCAGGCAAAGAGCTGGGGCTGCAACTCGCAGCAGCTCTGTGGAGTCAGAAGATGATGGAGAAGTGCCCCCTTTAATGCGAACAATATCGATTGATACGGAGCCCAATGATGATCTTCTGAGTACAGGAAGCTTCTCTGAAGCTAACTATGCTACCACCGGCAGCTCATCATCATTGGAATCATCCTTAACATCTGTAAGGGGCTGATGCCTGCTAATTGATCAATAATGGTGGAACAATTTAAAGTACAACACGTCTTTGTTCAATTTATTTTTCTTTAGAATACTGGAGACAAGGCAGAAGCAGAACGCATGACCATGTATAGATGTATAATCTCAAGTATTATGGAGAGTGAGACTTTATATGTGGAATGCTTGGCTGTATTGGTACAGTATATGAAAGCAATGAAAGCCACTCTGGGCACATCACAGCCTGTCATTTCCGAGCAGGACCTAAATACAGTCTTCTACAAAATCCCTGATCTTCACCGACTTCACCAGGCCTTCTTAGAGGGCCTACAAAAAAGATCACTCAATTGGGATGGGCGTCTTACGATTGGTGATCACTTCAAAATCATGGTAATTATATTCATTCTATATAATTAATAGTCTTGAGTTGAATAACACACAATTTTAATATTGTGTCTTGTGCAGGCAAGCAACATCAATGTTTATGGAGCCTTTCTACATAACTATTCGCGAGCTGTCGATACAGTGGGGCGCTGCTCGGCCAACAGCAATCAGTTCAATAAACTGACCCGAGACATTCCACTCCCATCCCAATCGGGTCAAAATGTTTCACTTGAAGATTTACTTCACAAGCCTGTGGCCCGAGTCCAGAAGAATGCTCTTGTTTTGCATGTATGTTTTTTCCACTTTTTAAATTCAAACTTAGGCTAACTGGATCATTTTTTAAAAATTTTCATGGTGTGTTTTTCTCTTTCAGGACCTGCTTAAGTACACACCCCTCTCGCATCCAGACCATAAAACATTATCTGAAGCTTTGGAGTTAACTCAAAGCTTCCTGGATGAGTTCAATATGATACATACAAAGGCTATGTTCCCTGCTGCAGACAGGGCACAGCGGCGGTTGGTCCGTAATTCCTTCATTGTTGAACTTGCTGACGGCCACAGAAAGCTCAGACACCTTTTTCTTTTCAATGATGTCATTGCTTGTGCTAAATATAAGGTAAAGAGTCTTTTTTTTTTCATTTTGAATTTTTTGAATATAATTTTGGTGTCTCTATGATGTATCGTAATGTTAACTAATATCCATCTTAAAATTTAAGGCATCTGGAAGAGAAAAATATACATTTGAATTGAAGTGGTACATACCACTATCAGATATTGTGATATTTGAAGAACCTGGTATAGAGCCTAGAGAAAGCAGTCCTCCTAATATCGTTGCCTTGAAAAGTGCTGCATCTACAGTACGTGACCAGCTTTTGTGGGAACAGAGAGCTGTTGGTGTAGAAAGACAACGTAGATCATCTCGTTCTGAGAAACATAGAAAAAAGCTTGCAGACTTGGAGGCTCAGTTGGTTTTAGCATCTCCAAACCTTGTCTTTCGTGTGGGAAACCGCACTTCAAGGGCTTACACATTCTTTTTATCATCAGAATTTGAACGAACACAATGGATTGAAGCAGTGCATGCATTGCAGGTAGTTTTCAAAGACTTAGTTACTTGTTTACATTGTGCACTTGCCGCTCTTTGGAACAAAGCCAAATATATTGTTTTACTGTTTCAGAGCTCTCAGCTTCCTGGGCCAGCTGTAACTGTATCAATGCTAGAGCTCCAAGCTTGGATCACAGCTTGCCGCAGTTATCTGAAGACAAATATGGGTTCTTATCTGCTGAGATCGGGAAAAGATGAAAGCTTACTTGTGGGTGATCTACATTTAACTTTAAAAGAATTGACTGGACTTGATCAAGCTGCTGGTTTGTATCTGATAATTATTGTCATTTCATCAGTTGTGCTTCACAGAAGAACCATTTTTAATTAATTTATTTTTTCAGATCTTTACATCTGTATTGAGCTTGATTCGTATGGGCACTATTTTCGCAAGGCTAAGACCAAACTTGTGTGTAATTCCTCATGCCCTCGTTGGGATGAATCTTTTGTCATTGAACTAGAAGGAGCTCAAAATCTTCGTATATTACTGTATGAAGAAGCTGCAGAAAGACCTCTCCTCCGTGCTAAGTGTACCCACAAGGTAAGGCATTGCCATCTCATGATGTATATTTTTAGTGTTGGTTTTCAAATTTGTTGTAACCAAGGTTGTAACTTATCTTAATTAATTCAATTTGATATTTCAGCTAAGCCGTTCGTGGCTATCGGAACAAAAGCTGGTTGAACAAACTGTTGAACTGAATAACTTATATTTGACACTTTCCCTGCGATTTGTCCCTAGTGAAGTTACTTTAAGAAGAGTTCCTACTGCAAAAGCAGGAGCTTTGTTTGGTGCTAAAATTGTTCAAGTGTGCAAGTAAGTCTTCGCATTAATTGACTATTATTATAAAATGAGATTGTTCATTTGAAGTGAACTCATTTACTTCTGTTTTTATTTTAGGCGACAAAAACGGCCCGTCCCTTTCATAATCACAAGCTGCATACGTGAGGTAGAAAGACGTGGAATGAATGAGGTTGGGGTGTACCGAGTTTCGGGCTCTGCATCTGATCTGAATCGCCTTAAAAAGTCTTTTGAAACAAGTAAGCCAACTGATATTTTTTGTTCAATGTGTGTGCTTTCTTAAACGTGTTTTCATCATTTAAAAAAATATTTTCTGTTCAGATTCCTATGAAGCAGAGCAGTTACTTAAAGATGTGGACATTCATTCAGCCACAGGAGTGCTGAAATTGTATTTAAGGGAGCTCCCAGAAGCTCTCTTTACTGATGAGCTGTATCCTAAATTTTTCCAAGCCTTCAATGGAAACAGGGAAGGTGATGCTCGGACTCAAGCTCTGGAACAGTGTTTCAATTTGCTTCCACCACTTAATCAGGGCATCATAAATTACATCATCAGTCATCTCATAAGGTAATATTGTGCTTTCTGATCTTATAGATTGCCTGGACCGTCCTTAAGCATTCTATTTTTGCTAAATTTTAATTTTTGTTGTGCAGGGTGAATCAACATGAGGCACAGAACAAAATGTCAATGCACAATTTGGCTACCGTGTTTGGACCCACTCTCTTGCGGCCAGGGTCCAAATTGGACAGCAACAAGACAAGGGATCCATTGGCAGCTGGCACAGTAGACGTCATGGCTCAGGCTGGTATTTTGTATCACTTTTTGCAGCAATCCCAGAAATAAGAGCAACAGTTATCTGTCTAGGTCCTGCGAACAAAAGTAGAAGCTGTCTTATTAGGGACCTATTGTGTAAGTGGCGTAATGAAAGAAAGCAACGACAGTATGGTGATAAACCTTTTGGTTATGTTAAAGTTACTGAAGATGTGCAGGCATTTCTTTAGCTTGCTGTCATTGAAAAGACTACATGCAGTTCCTCACAAATTTGAATATCAGTATTTCTGTGAAACAAGATGTGTTTCACAAACAAGCATATTATGATTTTCCAAAGACTGCTAAATCTGTATTTGTGAAGGTTTTTTTTTTTTTTTTTTTTTGTTTACTTCACACATTATGTACTTTTGAACACACTCCATATGTGATACATTTTTTATCAAGGTCCATGTTATTTATAGCATTCAAATACATTGTGTAAGTGATTACAAAGTGCACCAAATACGGAAAGATCACTACTGCTCACATCTTTGTGTTCCGATATTCATCAGGACTGAAACTGTTTTTTTTATTATTAGAATCCAAGTGGGCTTTGCCTTACTTAAATATGATCACTGATTTGTATCAAAATCTAAACATGATGCTTGAACTATGGATATGAAGGAGATATCAAACCTCTTCTTCAGGATGGTAAGAGACAATTTTGCCATGCATTTGCTGGAAGAATCAAGGAGATGAGTATGGCTTCAAATTCAAACAACACATGCCTTGATTCATCATGGTCATCTATGATGCTGGTATTTTGTCTTTAATTAATTTTTTCCTGTCCTTTTTTTTTGTCAAAAGTTTGATGTTTGAAAATTTTGATTTATTTATAGTAAGTAGGGATGGTGGGGGTAGTTGAGTGAGGGGAATGACCAATTAAGTTACCTAGCAGAAGATCATTAGCACCCATGCTGGATTTGGTGGGCTGTGAATTCTCTGTCTACTTCATCTCACTACAAAAATAATTATAGTGCTCTTCATTGGTAATTTTGCCTGAGACATCACATTTTCTTGAACTAAAGCTCATTGATAAGACTTCTATCTTGTTCCTCTTTTAATGTTATATTTTGTAAACCTGTACTTCTCCTTGTTGCAACTAAGTTTCCCTCCTAATTTTTGTATCCATAATTTTTACTGAACTTACATCACTGATCAAGTGATTTTTAAATTTACTTACGTCAATTTGGGTCAATACAACCTGTGTGTTTTGAACATAGATTTTTTAATATGGAGACAAAATACGTACTTTAGTGTGTCTCAAGGTTTTCATCTCAATCATCTCTCAGATTGCAAGATCTAGATTTAGGAGATTGCACTGAGAAATGGAACCGTTACTGGTGCTCTTTTCATTCCACTGTAGAACTTAATTTGTACTTTTATACGTCAGTTTGTTACTTTTTACTTCCGCTGGTGCAAGTGTTTTATAAAAGTGATTTTGGAATGAGAATTTTGGCTCATGTTTCCAATAGAGACTTGTTGTTTTTCATTAGTTTGTGCCAACTTTTTTTTACATCGAAAAAGAATAACATTGCCTTTGGTGTAAATGCCTTGGTAATTTTGAAGGAGATATTTTTCCTTGACCATGAATCAAATCCATCTCTTCCTTGTGGCAGAAGTGGAATTTTTCTGTCATGTTTCAATTTAAGACTTGTGTACATCACCATCACAGAAAGTTATTGTTCTGCGAGAAAGACTTAATCAAATGGACCATATTTTGTGGAAGTCACTTTTGCTCAAGTTTGTTTCTAATCTACCTTAATCAACAACAAAGGTTAAAAATTTTCTTGATGTGCGGTGTCTTTAAGAGAAAAAAAGAATGAGCCTTTCATGTCTTGTTTATAAACCATTAATCTTTGCTACAGTTTTGTTTGTTCTTTATCAGAGCTTAAAATACGAGTGGCATGGTCGTGTTAAGACTCGACTAGTCAGCTCTAAAATATTGTTGAAGAAGTAGAGCATTTTATTCATTGGTGCATATTAGTAATGTCAGTCAATATTATCATCTAGTCATAGAGAGCAGCTTAAAGCAAAATGTTACTATGCAGAATTTTTGTTGTGTTATTAATTCCTTCAAATTGAGCAGCAATTTTAGAGTAGTCCAGGTATGCTTCTGTTTAATCATTATATAAATATATTATTATTACTTGCCAGAGGTCTTGCTCTATGCTACTCAATTTCCATACTGTTTGTACAGTATATATTTGTTATGTAGACATAATTGCATTATTTTCATCCAAGTTGTGAACATAACTAAATTTTGTATTGTGCATGACTGTGTCTTACACAACTACTTTTATATTTGGAAATGTATTTTGGGTTGAATAGTGTAATAAAGCTATACTAAGAATCTGTTTGTCGATTCTTCTTTTCTTCCCTGTCCAATATAACTTTTACCGTTGACTTCCGGCGCCACCATGAATACCAGCGATTGGCATGGTAGTGCAGCCGCATGGCGAGCCACGCCGAGTACACCAAGTCAAGCGCAGCCATGATGGAAACCTGGAACGCACGCCAAATGCTTACAGTCATGTCCAAGAAGGATTTCTTTTTAGTTTTTGAATAAAACAAGGAGTCAAGAAACAGTAACGTGAGGTTCATTCTGAATCGCCAACTCATTTACGATGTAATACAATACTTCACAAACTGGTCTGTAACAACACCACCTTTCCTCTACCAAGGTACTGAAAGTGGGCTCATACAGTGGGCCAACCTGAAAGTAAGGCGCGTCGTCTGCATTGACTCCAAGCAGATGGGTCCCGAAGAGCGTCACTGGCGTGAAGATGATGAATGCCACTATGTCGAAGAGCAAATCCACGCTCCCGGTGTGAATCACCCATGCAGGGATAGAGGCGAGCACGCTGTAGCTGGCGTGGCAAGGCAATGAACAAAGAATAAAACGAGAAACAAGTGTCTGGACCGGGGGTGGAATCTCGTGCGCCACCTGGGCGTGCGAATGGTGGTGTACTGATGGCCGCACAGCTCGCAGCAAGAGGAATCGCTCTCGGCCAGCCAGCGCTCCAGGCAGGTCATGTGCACGCGGGCCACGGTGCCGCGGCACTCGCAGGGCGACACCAGGGACCCAGCGCCTCCAGCCCCCGGCACTGCGTCTGCGTCCTCGACCTCGGCCTCGGTGGCGCCGTAGGGGTAGGTGTCGCGGCAGATGCGGCAGATGGGGGTGCCGCTGTCTTGCCTCGCCAGGGCCGCGGCCTCGGCGTTGGCGGCGTTGGCGGCGTTGGCGGCCTCCTGGACCGCCTTGAGGAGCGTTACACAAGGCAGGACGGTCACGGTGGAGACGGAGCGGCACTCACGTTCTGGGCGCGGAAGCGTTCGATGACGGCCAGCCTCTCCCGGATGCGGCCCTGGTTCTCGGGGTCCAGCGGGTCCATGGGGACTGCCAGCGGCGCGAACTGCTCCAGGCGCTTCCCGAGGCCCGTGTAGTACTCGCTGGTGTCGTTGGCGGGGCGCGAAGGTGCGGACGGGCCGCTGTCCGCCGTGGCGGCCGTGGCGGCCGTGGCGGCGGGTAGGGCGGGCGGCCTGCTTTCTGCCGAGGTCGGCATCACCGCGAGAGACCAGGTCGGGGAGGTCGGTTGCGGGGCGGCGGGCACGTCGTCATCGCCCAGGTCGTCGTCGTCCAGGTCGAGGATGATGAGGTCGAGGACGTCGTCGTAGGCAGGAAGGCCTGGAGCAGAGCGTGGCGGGAAGACTGGCGGATGACGAGGCTGGCGCAGCGCGCTGCAAGCAGCCAGGAAAGTCCCCTTACCGCCAAGCTGGTCCTGGTCCTCTTCGAACTGCTCCTCCGCGACCTCCGAGTCCGACCAAGCGGACAGGCTGCGCCTCGTAGGAGTAGGGACCACAGTTAAACTTGTTACTCCGCGAAACGGACGCACGGCGCCGAACGCTCGGCCCTGCCGCCCTGCCCGCTGCGTCCCACCTGGGCACCTGGGCGTGGTGCGTTGGCGCAGGCCGTCGTCGTCATCGGGCTGCTCCTGGGCGTCACAGCTCGGCGCTGCCGTGGACCCCCCTCGGCCGTCGGGTGCTTCTCGTGCTTCGCGTTCTTCGGGGGGCGGGTCAGCCCGATGGTCCATGCCGGGCCACGCGCGCCACGGCCAGCATGGTCAGTCACAGCCCCGCGTCGCTGCAGGCGGCGGCGGCGGCGCCATGGGGGACGCGGCCGCGGGTCGCGACGCCGCGGCCGGCCCATTGTCTGTGGCCATTGTGATTGGGGCTGGCCGGCCCGGCGGCTGGCGCGGCTGGCCCCCGCGGCGCGCTCGTGTGTGTGCAGGCCAGCTCGACAATGATGCCTCGCCATTATTACTGCCTGGCTCGGCCTCGGCGGCCTCGGCCCCCTCGGCCCCGCTGCTGCCACGCAATTTCAACAAGCTAGCCGCCGTCCGCCCCCGGCACGCTCCGGCATGCCCCGGCACCACGAATAGCCATTCATGACCCATTCACGCGCACTAGTGCGGCTGGTGCACTGTGCTCGGGGAGAAGATACTCAAGATGTCGCGGGCACACTGGAATGGGCTTCGCAGGAATCTAACGGCCAGCCGAACAGCCCAGACCAACCTGGCGGCACCGTGTCACCTGTCGTCGGCCTTGGTCGCGTACCGGACGAACACCTGGAACACCATCTTGCAGATGCACAGCAGGATGATGCAGGTGACGAGGCCCAGCACCACGGCCTTGACGATCTGGAACTCGTCCAGGTTCCGGCCTTCCGCCGCCCCGACCTTGGCCCCCAGGTCCTCGTCGGCGTCCGGCCTGCGCGGCCCCGCGCCGAGGCCGCCGTGGTCCGCCCCCAGGAAGGCCGTGCAGTTGTTGGCGACGAACTGCCTGCACTCCTGCAGCGTCATGTCCTGGACCGAAGGAGGCCGGCGTGACGCCATCTTCGAGTGAACGCCGTTCAGGTCCCCAAGTCCACGACCTGGGCGAGGAGAGGGAGCCGACGAGCAGCTGCCTGCGGGCAGCCCAGGGCAGCCTAGCAGCCCGACTGAGCCAGCGCACACCCGCGCGCTGCCCACTGCCCGAATGCCCTCCATGTTCGCGGCTTCGCGGCTTCCTCCCACCCCAGCACTGCAGACTGACTCTGAGAGTCGCTCTCTCACTCTCTCTCGCACCCATACGGAGCGCCCTTATGTGCGAGAGAGACAGAGCGACGGAAACGACTCTCAGATTCAGTGTACTGGCCTGCCCGCGCCAGTCGCTGTGTTTTGATTTGCTTACACCAGTGAACCTCTTTCGGTCAGCCCGGTGTAAAGTGAGGCGTGGCCGCCATGCTGCTATTTCGGGAGTCACATAACCCACGTCCACGTCGACCACGTCCCGCGCCCAGCACGGCCCAGCAGCACTCCCGCCTTGCCGCCGCCTGCCGCCGCCTGCCGCCGCTTGCCGCAGCCCCGGCCGTTCCCACCGCACACCCCTACGGGCCCTGCGCAACGCCCCGTGAGTGCGAGAGAGACCGAGCAACCAAACCACTGTTCAGAATCGGCCTGCGGGGCTGCGGGGCTGCTGGGCCCTGGGGGAAGAGGGCGGGGTGCGGGGTGTCCTTGTTTACGAGTGGGCAGGCACGTCAGAAATGTTATGGATGTGGGCCTAAGGCCGAAGGGTGGACCGCGGAGCAGGCTTCCTCCTGCCTCTGACCTTGCCAACCATCACATGTAGTGTACACCTACGCCATTCAGACTGAGGGGAGTGGCCAAATAAAGGATGGCACCGTGGTTACGTACTTTGAAATAAATTTATTAATTTTATAGACTTTGTTTATACGTAGCGTATGTTACAAACATAGATAATACTTTTTACTACATCTAAATCAATAACCAAATATGTGGAGTTTTAATACTGGTCAACCTTCTCCCAATTGACATGACATGGCACCTATTTGTGGCTTGAATAACATTTTATACTTAGCAGAACAGACGTGAAGTGGTTTGAGCAGTGGATTGAGAAGATTCAAGGGGAAATAACTCTATCCAAATTTGCACAGCAAACATGTAAAATTCATCAAAATTCATCCAAATTTATGGAAATTCACTGAAATTCTTCTCAAAATTCAGTAGTTTTTACCTGAAATTCATTGGATTTGTACACTGAAATTCACAGTGATTTCCCCTTGAGAAGATTGTAGACCGGTAGCACAGAGTACGCACTAGCATGAATAGTAATCATGAGGTCTCACAAAAAAAATAACACTTACTGAATAATCCTTTTGGCACTGACAGCTGTCTGTGAGAAGGTCTGCAGAGTTACCACACAATAATTCTTTTCTCGTAGTTTGAGTCAAACTGAAACTATGTTCTTGCTAGTAGCTAGCCGTGGTGCTATTGTAATACTATAATACTTTAGTACTTATGGTGTCCCAAAATTTCAGAAAGGCAGAAGATCGAAAAGTGCAACTCTATCGTTAAGGCCGTACATCTAATTTGGAAGTACGGATTCGGAAAACAGTGATCACCACTGCAAAATTGACACGGAGCTAGACTCAGCTCGTCTCTAGCACTAAAATAAATAACGAAAATAGAAAATGCAACATCCGGCAGCCTGGCCTGGAGCCTACAAAAGTCCAGTGCGGTAGTGAAGCTGGTAGGAGCAGCCTTGCCCAGGGAGGATGGCGTGCGCGCTCTCAGCGCGTCTCTGGAGAGGCCCCGCGGAACGCTGGGCCCTGGAGTCTCCAGTCGACCTCGCGCGCCGGGCCGTGCCCACCGGGGCCGTGCCCACCGGGCCGTGCCCACCGAGGCCGTGCCCACCGGGGCCGTGCCCACCGGGGCCGTGCCCACCGAGGCCGTGCCCACCGAGGCCGTGCCCACCGGGGCCGCGCCCAGCGCACCTGCGCCCGGCGTTTGGGTCGGGGCGTCTCTCAGGGACATGGTGCGTCTGGTCTGTCCCGGAGCCGCGCATGCTCCTGGTGGCCCCGGCAGATCGGGGCCGTTATCCTGGGGGAGGCCCCCGCCCCCGTCCGGCGTCGTGGAGGCCGCCGCCTTCGTTCGCCTCCCGGAACGCCGTCGGGGCGGCACGCGCCTCTCACGCGGCTCCTCCGTGCTGGAGCCGGCCGAGCAGGGCTCCTCCTGGGGGCGACGGCTTCGACGAGAAGCCTTGCCGCCGGTCCGCGGCTCCTGCGCCCCTGGGGTGTCCGTCGGTGGCAGACGCCCACTGGCCGACCTGTGGATGGCGGCCTTGGTCTGCGAGCTGGCACGACGGCGAGGTGCGGCAGGGTGGACCGCCAGGGCCGCGTCATCGTAGGACACCTCGCTGCCGTCGTCCACCGAGCGGCCCTTCCGGGAGCCAGCGCGGGCGGCGCGGGCCAGCGAGTGCGTCCGGCGCACGGCTGGCTTGCCTGCCGCGCCGTCCTGGTGGTCCTGGTGGTCCTGGTGGTCCTCGTCGACGGGCAGCCCCTCGCGGCCGTCGGCGAACCAGCGGCACACGCCACACTCACTGGCCGGCCTGGAGGGGCGGTGGCTGCGGCCTCTGTTGCGGCGGTGGCCGCGTGGCCGAGCCGCGTCCTCGACGCCGTGGTCCAGATCCGCGTCGGGTTGCCCCGCGCCGGCCCCCGCGCCCTTCACGTCAGGGCACAGGAGGCGCAGCGGGGGGCATCCGAGTCCCCCGACTCCAAGCCGCTCTCCATTTTCCTGCGCAGGGAATCTGCAACAAGTCGACACGGTGGTTGGCGGTCCGAGTCCCAAGTCCGAAGTCTGTCCTCACTACTTCCGGTGTGGTTGTGGTGGGTACTTGCCTGCCAGCTTCTCCTTGCCTATGGCGGCCAGGCTGTCGGCGAGCTCGCTAAGGAAGTTGCACTCGGGCTCCAAGCTGTGCTGCCATATGAGGAGCACCCGATGGCCGTGCTCCCGGTAGCTCGCCGGGCCTGTGTCGAAAGCAGGCATCGTCATCAAGCTGCACACAGTATCCGTCTGCAGACGTCGGAGACAGCGGGACCCACCCGTGTACTGGTGCTCGATCGCCCGCACTTGGTCGTCTGTGAACTTCCAGTGGCGCGCCAGCTTCCTCCAGTCGCTGGGGCTGAGCTGCTTGTGGGCCAGCTTCTTGAGAAGGCGAGCGGCCTCCTCGGGGCCGGGGAGACGTCTGTCGGCTCCGCACGCCGCCCCCGCCGCCTCCGACGGCCTGCTGGCCCCGCTCAGCCCCCGCACCGCCCCCGCCTCCAGCGACAGGGCCTCCACCACCTGCGGCCCGCGGCCGTCCCTCACCGACAGCCGCCACTTCCGGAGTCGCGGCGCCGAGTCCGGCAGCGCCTGCAACACCAAGGAGCGCGTCACTTCGGGGGCCGCACCCGTGCCGTGGCACAGCCAGTTCACTGCCATTCATCGGGGAGTTTGCTCGCCGCGCCAGTCCTTCGCCGTTTCGAATGCTGAAATTTGGACCTCTGAGCCCGGATTGTTCTCACAGATTGCCAAAATTTAGCACTCCGGAGCCCAAGGACTCTGGGACGCCAAATTATGGCATTCTCAGGGAGCATTGGAGTTGCCAGCAAACTTACCGATGGAAATGGCAGTGTTGAACCACCTCCACCTGTACAGTGACGTGGCGCCCCTCTCTCTAGAGATCTACTTTTCCCATGCCAAAATACGGACAAGCAGCAAGAAGAAGCGAACGAAAACAAAGCGAAGCGAAAACAAAGCAGAAGCGCCATTTTACCGCACACGACGCGCACGACGCGCAGCGGAGCAGATCGATGCCGGGAAATAATGGAAATAGCGGCGATGAAAACCTTTCGCGTCGCGGACGACAGATAAAAGGAAGGGCGTCGGTCGGGTCGTGGCCAAGTCGGCGATTCCCGTCTCACCTGGCTTCGCTCCACCCCGCCCCGCCCCGCCGCGTCGTCACCGTTCTCAACCGGAACACAATGCCTTAAACGCGGGGCGGGGCGGGGCGAGTTAGTTGGGGCGGTTGCGGCGCCAGAGAGCATCGAGGACCACTCCCCCTAACCATTTAAAAGCGGAAAATAAGTCGCTCAGAAGTTGAAAGCGCCGCACACGAGCGCCTTGGTTCACCCCTGGCGGAGTGGCGGAGGGGCGGGTCGGGGGCAGGGGCGGATGAGAGTCCACGAGGATTGTCTGCCGGTTGCCGCCGAGGCCTCCGCGGCGGACGGGGCGACGGGGCGACGTCTAGGCCGACGGGCCGACGAGCCGACAACAGCGGCATTGTGCGCGTCCGACGCCACGCCGCCGCAGTAATTAAGACCGGCCGCCCCGCCGCTGAACTTTGCAGACCGAAGCAGCTGGAGCACCACTGGAACCGAGCCGGACAGCGCGACGCGGCGCGGCGCGGCGCGGCAGACAGCTACAAAGCATTGTCTCGGCGCGGCTGGCGCGGCGGGATGGCCGCAGCCGGGCTGTTGCAGGCTGACTCCAAGCGGCGCCTCGTCCAGCCTCGTCGCTCTGTCTCTCCCGCACCTCAACGGGACGCCCTGTGGGTGCGGTGCGACCGGGCGCGACGGAGATGGAGTGGCGGTGAAGCGTTGCTCGCGGGTTCAGCCTAGTTCAGCCTGGAGCGCCTGGAGGGCGGGGACGCGCTGTGACATGCAGCGGGGTGCGTCCGTGGCTAATGGGCTGCCTAGGGCTGCCTAGGGCCTAGGGCTGGCCATGCTCGACGTGCAACGCTATGGCGTGCCGCTACTCCGTGCCGTGACGCCGTGACACTGTGACGCCGTCACGCGGCGAGGGGTAGCCACGGCGGTCAAAGCCCCCCGCGAATCTTTGGCTGCCGCCCGGGCGCGCCCCCGCATCGTGCGGTGCGGTCGAGGGGTACCTCACTTCGTCTAGTCAGTGTACACCCCTGACTCCAGTCACTGCCTTGTTTCAGTCTAGTCACTGAAATCGGCAAACCACGTAAATTTGTCCCATTTAGTATTTTTGCAACGCATTTCGTGGTATTTTCAGTCTAGTCAAAGTGGAAATTGAGTATAGTCACCAGTCAGTGTACACCTGTTTTCGAAGTGAGGTACCCCTCGGGTGCGGTGCGCCAACGGCGAGGCCTACATTGTGTTACCTTTATCCGCCCGGGGCGGCACGCTGTTCCCACGATCCGCCGAGCACACCGCTGCCTCGTCAAAGCTCTGAAATGAAAATAAAATAAAAAAATAATAAAAAAAAGATATGACGAGTTGCCGTGTGAATCTCGCCGCCAGGCAGGCAGGCAGGCAGCCCGTCGTTATTTGATCGCGGCGAGGGTGGCGGCGCGTTGCGGCAGAGACGTCAAACAGAAAGTGGTGTTAACGATGCGGCAAGCCTCGCGGCCACGGCAGGCCACGGGCCCCGGGCCCCGGCCCCGGGCCCTGGGCGCGCTCTGTCATGCTCCCTCTCACTCCCTCTCACTCTCTATTAATCTCCCGTTATTGGCAGTTGCCTGTCTTCGGCACGACCGATCGGAGCGATGCTGCGGCCCATTCCGACGCCCAAATCTTTATCGGTCTCCCCTTTTACGCGTGTTTATGTTCGGCTACGCCACGGCCCGCCACGGCCCGCCAGGGACAAACAGGTAAACACATGGGCTACACTGACAGTCCCCCCCCCCCGCCTAGCAGGGCTTACCCTCCAAAACAGGGCGCCGTGCCTGATTAGCGTCCCGGGGCTGTCTCTCTCGCACCCACAGGGGCCGCGCCATGGGAGTGCGAGGGAGAGAGAGCGAGGCCGCTCGCTTTTGGAATCGGTCCGCGGTAATTCGGCGTGGAACTGGGCGTGGAACCTAACCAAGCGTTTCTTCGGCAGCAGCGACGCGAGCGCCATCTCTTCATCTCTCCGCCTCTCTCCAGCGGGCGTCGTCATTGGTTTGCGTTGTCCCTTTTCCCTTTTGCCGCCAAAACCTCGCCGGAGTTGTCTCTCTCCACCTGCCTCTGCCTGTTCCTGTTTTTCTCTGCCTCTCTCGGTCTCTCTGCACACGGCACGGCGGCATGGCGGCAGTGCGCGGACCGCAGCCACAACAGTCGGGGCGTGCGGCGCCACGCGGCGCCATGGGGCGCGCAGCACGAACGGTGCTCGTTTCCGTCTCTCTCGCGCCCCTGCGGAACGCGCCCTGAGTGCGAGAGGGACGGAATGAGCCGGGGGCGCGGCCGCCGTCATACGCCATTGTCGGGGCAAAGTTGGCGGCGGTCGAGTGGCAGGCCAGCAGGCCAGCAGGCAGGCCGGCCGCGGCAGGCGCGACTTGAGTCGGACTCAGCCAAGCGTGAAGCCCCGGGGCAACCGGAAGCAAGCAGGCGGGGCTGGCCAGAAAATACTCCTCCTGCACGGCGCCAAGGGTGCGGGGTATCGCCGCGAGTTCAAGATCTTTCTCCCGAGCCGACGACCAACACAAACACGACGAACTTGTCTTCTCGCGCGGGTCGATGGGACACACCTGCTGCAGGTGGTGGCGCTACCCTTGGAGGAGGCACACTGCACAGGTTGCCATGGCGACTCGATGCGGATCAGTGGTCGCGGATGCCGTCACAAAGCGCGCTGCTCGCTCTCCTCTCCGGCAGCTGTCTCTCTCGCACCTGTACGGAGGGTCCCATGAGTGCGAGAGAGACAGAACGACGGCAGCAGTGCTCGGAATCAGCCTGTCGTACTTGCTTCTCTCCAGTCTCTCCCGGCCCCGACCGATGCGCGCGCTGCCAAAGCCTGCACAGCCTGCGCAGCCTGCACAGCGAAGCCGAACCGAAGCAACATTAGCCTTTCCGGCCGTGCTGGCGGGGGGCGGAGGGTCGCAGCAGCTGTCGCTATCTCTCTCCCACATCGGGGGCATTTGTCCCTGTCAGCCGCCGCACCGGCAGGCCAGGGCGGGCGCCGGGGTCGGCAATGGGCCAATGGACCGAGTCACTATTCCTAGATCAGTGTCTCTATTGGCAGCCGGACCCGGCCTCGCCTCGCCTCGCCTCGCTCCAGAGCCACCATTTCTATCGAACGCGCCCCGGCTGAACCAACCCGCCGCCGCCAACGGAAGTCCGTTTGAAACAGCCGCCCCACGCGGCCCTCGCCGCCCCCGCCGCCCCTGCCGCCACCGAATCGAGGACCTGCTTCGCCTGCTCCACCACACTTACCGTCCCGTAAAGCTGTCGCGATTAGAGAGAAATTTGAGAGAAATGCAAAGTCTTTGGCCAACGTCAACAATTAATACGCCTGCAGTGTACTGGCGCGCCATGGCGGTGCGTGCTGCGTGGCTGCGTCCTACCGCGCGGCAGCTGGCGGCAGCAGCAGCCATCCCGATCGCTGCTTTCGTCACTCTGTCTCTCTCCCACCTCTGCGGCGCTCTGCGGCGCTCTGCGGGATGCACCGTGAGTGCGAGAGAGACAGAGCGACGAGGCGTTCGGAACCAGCCTGCAGCCTGGCGGGTAGGCAGCGGGGCGGCGTGGCTGCGCGCCGGCACGGCCTCCCCGCCAGGCGCTCGCCGCCTCGACTCGTCCACTGCACTGCCACTCACCGCGGCCGGGCAGTCCAGGCGCGCCGTCTTGATGATCATGTCCACGATGGCCGTGAAGGAGCCCCTGGCCGCCATGTACAGCGGCGTCTTGCCGGTCTGCGAGGCAACAAGGAGGTGAGGCGCTGCACACTCCGTCTCTCTCGCACCGAAGGGACCGAAGGGACGCCCCACGAGCGCGAGAGAGACAGAGCGACGCAAACGACACGCTGCAAGTACCTGCTCCTTCTGGTCGATGACGGCCCCTGCCGCCAGCAGCAGTTTGCACGCGTCCGTGAAGCCGCGCTCGGCGGCGATGTGCATCGGGGACTGCAGTCGCTGCCGCGGGGAAGGGAAAACATGGCGTTCGTGTCATTTAATTCACTCAAAAAAAAATGGAGGAAAAAAGTAAAAGGGCAGCGAAAATAGATTAAACTTGCTCACCACGTCCAACGAGTTGATGTCAGCGCCCTTGGCGATCAGCAGTTCGATGGACACGAGCTGGTTCTGCAGGCACGCCATGTGCAGGGCCGAGCTGCCGTCCTGCGAGGTGAGGTTGGAGTGGAAGCGAATGAAAATGCAAATTAAAAGCCAGCTCGGCCTTCCTCATGCGGTGAGCGTGATTTCATCGGCGTTGCCGTTTAAGGTGTAGTCCCAGGGCAGGCCCAGGGCCCAGGTAGGCCCCACCCCACCTGGTTCGACAGCACGGCCCCCGCTCCCCACGGCACGCCCCCGCCATAGCGGTGTGAGTTCCCCAGGGATTGTGTGTAGGTGGTTCCCCCCCCCCTCTAACCCACCAGTTAACGACATTCTTATTTTCCTTCCCTTTCCATTTATTTTCCATATTGACCACCGAGCCGCGGTGCCGCGGTGCGCGCCGTGCCGTGTAGTACAAGGGCGCCACCCCCATACACAGACTCGGCGGCTTAATGAAGGGGGTCACGTCCATTCCTGTTTTGTTTTTTATCTCCACCCGATATTTTAAATTTATGGCAAGTCGACCGACACATTTTTCTCGCCTCGCCCCGCCGCATTTCCCCTCTGACATTTTATTTAAAAAGTACATTCCGTTATGCGGGAGGTGCTTGGCGGCGGCGCCCTGGCGGTGCCCACCTTGGCCTGCTTGTTGAGCTGCGCGCTGTTCTGCACCAGGGACTCCATGATGCCGCGGCACGCCAGCCCGCTCGCCAAGTGCAGCGCGGTGTAGCCCCGCTGCAACAGCAAGGCGACGCGTCACCACAACACAACAACAACAGTAACAAACAAACAACAACAACAACAGAGGGTAACACGGTCCCCGCCGAAGACGCGCCAAGCCAGACCCGCATCGAGGCAGAGGCGCGGCTGGTCTCCGCACTTGGGCCAAACCCGGGCCAAGCCGCACCTATGCGGGCGGCGCGCGGCGCAGGTGGTTTGTCGGATTGGCGCGCGACATGTCGGGGGTGGGGGGTGTCTTTGTGCTGGCCCGGCGTCCCGGGGCTGTACGGCGCCGTGCCTCGGCCGTGCCGCGCGGAGGCCGATGGCGACGTAAAAGCCTTTGTAAACACGGAGCGAAAGGCGAAAGGGTGGCCAGGGGTTTTCCTCTCCACTGGGAGAGAATGGCAGAGGGCGAGAGAAAAGAATTCCAAAGAGAAACAATAAAAATGGGTCGCTCCGCGCTCCGCGCTCGCGCGCGTCCGCTTCCTCTTGAGGCGGCGCCTCGCGTCGGCCGCCAGCGAGACGAGCGAGACCGCCAGCTGGCTGATTCCGAGAGTCGTTTTCGTCTCTCTATCTCTCTGGCACTCAAGGGGCGATAGGTGCGAGAGAGACAGAGCGCTCACCGCGTTCTCGGCGTCCGGGTCCACGCCGTGGCTGAGCAGCTCCTGCACCACGGCGCTCTGCTGGTTCTCGGTGGCGACGTGCAGCGGCGTGTTGCCGTCCTGGTCCACGGCCGCGGCGTCCGCGTCGTGGCGCAGCAGCACGCGCACGGCGTCCAGGTGGCCCTGCTCGGCCGCCACGTGCAGCGGGCTGCGGCCTTGCTGCGGGAGACAACGGCCAGGTTCAAGTACAACCAAAGTCTTTTTTTTCTGTTTTGAAGAGCTAATTTTTTTAAAGAAAATTTAACTATCCAACCTTGTTCCTGGTGTTGGGGTCCGCGCCGGCCTGCAGCAGCTTCTGCACGACGGGGGCGTGGCCGCCCTGCGCCGCGTGGTACAGCGCCGTCTGCTGCTCGCTGTCCGCCGCCTCCAGGTTGGGCTCCTCCAGCGTCTGCAGGATGAGGTCCACCACCGAGACGCTGCTGTTGCGCGCGCCGCACATGAGCAGCGTCAGCGCTTTCTGCAGAAACCACGGAAAGCTCGTTTTGAAAACACAGACGTCAATACCAGTCTACTCTGAAAAAAAAAATAAACAAAAAAAAGTTTTCAATCCGGGATTATTGATGAAACGTGAATAAATGCTCTCGGATTCAGAACTGATTTTGTTTTAGTGCAAACAGAAGTCTTGTTGTTTGCAGTGTGCCTCATCCCCGGGTTAACCCTCAGACTTCCGCGGCTCTTCCAACTGTTTTCATTGGGTTCGTTTGCCATCATTCTCACAAGTTTTGCAATGTTGCGCCTCGCCGTGGCTCGCACGCCTCGCCGTGCCGGTGTCTGGCTTACTCGCGCATCCGCGCGCTAACTGCTCGTTCTCGTCCTGGCGGCCCTTCCACTGCACTGCTACGCGCCTCGCCCGCCGTGCCCGCCGAGCCCGCCTCACCCGCCTTGCCCGGCGCGCGAGAGACACGGCCCAGAGTCGCACTTAAACAGCATCAGCCTCGGTAAACAAGGCGGAAAAAGCCAGACTACGCTCCTGGGAACTTATTCCGAGGACACATGTAAAGGAGGGAGAGGGAGAGCGAGGCGAGGAGAGGTCATTTCAGGAAATTCTCAGTGCTGTCACAATACTTTGCGCCAAAATGAAAATAAAAACAGGTTTTCGTCGACCTTAAGTTTTCTTACGACGATGCTAAAAGTTCATCGAAAAACGGAGCTTATGTTGCTAGGCCTGTGACGTTAACTATTCACTCGACGGCAGATTATAATGGGGTTTCTGTTTGGCGTGTGCCGAAACCCAATCAGAAGCGCGGGGATAAAGTCTGGCGGACGGGACGGGCGGGTTGGACGGACGGCGCGGCGGAGAGCAGAGGATGCTCGACATAATTTATGCAGCGCTCGGATGCTGGCGGCTGGTGGCACGGCGCGGAGTTAGGCCATTCCGGCTGGCTCGCTACTAACAGACGGAGAGCAGCGAAAAGCAGCGGAACGCAACGGAAAGTCGTGCCAGTGTTGTAGAGGTGGCGCGTGGCGTCCGTGGCCGAGGCCGGCCAGATCAGCCGCTGGGCCTCGGCCTCCACTAGAGCCTCGCCCGCGCTCTCGCTCTCGCACTCCTACGGGATACCCCATGAGTGCGAGAGAGACAGAGCCTCGGCCTTGAGCCGCAGTCACGTGCGGCGAAGCGCGAACGGCCGCCGCGTCCCGTTCCGTTCCGTTGCGCGTCCGCTCTCGACGCGATGCAAGAACCCGGAGCGTCGCGGCGTCTCACCCACGGTGGACGACAGGCATGCCGACCGCGCCGTGCCACGCCACTGGAAGTGGGGGGCTTTCTCGGAACACGTCGGCCTGCCGAGCCATTTGGGAGGGCTCTGTCGCACTCATGGGGCTTCTCCGTAAGGGTGCGAGAGAGACAGACAGAGCGGAAAGCCGCTCGTCTGAATCGCACGGCTGCCCGGGCCCGACCCGTCCAGCCCCTTGACGGGGCGGTCTTTGCGGGCTGCACAGCCACACCGTGTGGGGGGAGGGGGAGGGGTCCAGGGGCAAGGCCGGGCAAGGCGGCAGCACTCAGACGAGCCCCCTGCATTGTTCCCTCCATAGGAGCATTTGCAGCTTTAAGCGGACGGCTGCGCGCTGCGCAGCCTCTGTCGACCCCCCCCCCAGGCCGGCCGGAACCACTTCCGGTCAGAGGCCGCTCGGCACGTGCAGGCCGGGCAGGCCGGGCAGGCCGCCACAAAGGCGTGCTCTGCCGCCAACGAGCAGGTGGCGTTGGTTGGACCGCGTGGACCAATTTGCCCCCCGCCCCCTTTCTGTCCACGGAGGCTGCGGGGGGTCCGAGTCAGGCCCGACTAGCCATGAGGGACCGTAGACCGATTCCGCGAGTCGTTTTCGTCGCTCTGTCTCTCTCGCACTCTCATGGGGCGCTACGTCCAGTGGCGACAGTGGAGACAGCGACGAAAACGACTCTCGGAATCAGTCGGCTGCGTGGACCGGCGGCCTCGCCGATACGAGCGTGTTCTCCAGTAACGGAGTGGAGCCGAGCCATTATTGGCCGAATGCCTGTGCGAGCACTGCGAGCGCGCCATCGGCCAGCATCGGCCAGCATCGGCCAGCAGGGCAGGCAGGGCAGCCCTTGGGGCAGCCACGGCCGAGTCGCCTGTCCACACACTGTTTTGCCTTTTTATTTGCCTCATTCGATTGAAACGTTCCCCGGCTGCTGTCGGCCCGTCCGACTTGCTGGAGAGGAGGAAGATACACAAGAAAAAGCCGTTTCTTGCGCCACGATAATATACTTCCATGCAGCAAATTTACTTGAATGTTAAAGGAAATCCACGTTTTGTAAGTCAATTTTCTTGGCCCAAGAAACGGCTTTTTGGGGTGTAGGTTCGGGGAAAATGAATTTGCACGGCGGCCAGGCATTTCAGTGCGAACAGCGGCCGTGCGCAGATCCCTCTGGGCTTCGCCGCTTCGCCGCTTCGCCCGATCCGCGTCCACAGCCCTCCCCTTCCCTTACCTGCCCTTCCCACCCCTTCCCCCAACCCGTCGTCGTAGATTATACAGGAGGGCTGCCTCTCGTGCTCTAACGCGAGGCCTTGTCCCCGCTCCAGTCCGCTCCAGTCTGGCCTGGCCCGGTCCAGACCGTGCCGTACCTGTGACAACAAAACGGAAAAGAGGGGAGGGGATGGATCGAGCCTCCATTTTGCATGCCGCGGATGATGCTGCCGCCAAAAAGAGTGGCACGTCATGTCGTGGCGGGGCGAGGCGGGGCGGCGCGCGAGCAAACACGAGCCAAGGCGGCGGCCTCCCCGGGCCTCCCTCCCATTCTCATTGCAGCAGTCTGCAAAAATGATGCGGCGGATGCCTTGGACTCTCGGACGGCCGTGGAATTCAATAAGGCCGCGACTGCTCCTTTCAGAGGAATGGAAAGAATAGGGGACACACGCAGGCAGCGCCGAGGCAAGGCTGCGCCGCGTGGCGGAGCGCGCGGAGCTCTCTCTTGTACTCGGCGGCGCTGTTTGCCTCCGCGAGGTTTATTCCCTGCTTAGTGCCGAATTACCAATGGTAATTCCCCCTTCCCCCACCACCGCGGCTACAACAGCCAGCCGGCGCCGCCAACCTCGCCAACCCCGTGCCAATAACGCGAGGCGTCGCTCCCCGCGAGCGAACGCCGAGTGACAGGGCGGGTGGGCACTTCGTGTTGCCAGCACTGGCGGCTCCGAGTTCCGAGGGCCGGGCCGAGGGCTCTAAGGGCACCGAGCCCACCCCGCCCCGCCCCGCCCGACATCCTTATTCTTTATTCTTTCATCACTGGACCGCCGCGCGCCCGGCCGCCCGGCCGGCTCTGGGGCGGGTTGGCCTCCAGCCGCGCAGCCAACCAGCAAAGCAGCGATGGAGTGCAAATTTTATGCAAAAACAACATTAATGAAAACATTTTCGTGTTCATGTGCGCCACGGGGGTGGCGGCGGGCGGGCGGCGGCGGGCGGCGGCGGCGGGCGGCGGCGGCGCGGGAGGCGGCGTTACTGTTTCTGCGTTTCTTAGTGTCGCATCTCTCGTTTACCTTGCTTTATTAACCCCCGCTTAAAAGAATTTGGGACAGGTTGGGGCGAGGTAAGGCGGTGGGTGAGAGTACTTGGGTGAGCTAAGGCGGTAAGAGTACTTGGGAAGGTCGTCAGGGCGGTAAGGCAAGCCCGCCCAGGGTCAACTGTTGGGGGAGTGGCTCATGGCATATTGATTCCAAGTCAATGAAGAGTGGCGTCTGTCACACCTCCCCGCCCTCCCCGCCCCCCCCCCCCCCCCCCCCCCCTCCCTCCCCCTCCCTCACCCCTCCACCTCCCCACCCCTCCCCTCCCCTCCCCTCCCCTCCCCGCCACCCCGTGTGCCGGCGGCAAGCGGAGCTCATCACCGGTATTGCTCCAGGTTCTCCGGGTCCTCTTGGTGTGGCCGGAGAGTGGAGGTGACGTGGCGGACAAACTTTGGCCGTGAGTTGGGTCGTCGTCTCGGTCGGCCTCTGCCTGCCGGAGTGGACCGTGACGTCACCGCCCTCCGGGGGAGGCATGGAGGAGCATGGACGAGGCATGGACGGAGGCATGGAAGAGGCATGGACGGACGAGGCATGGGCTTCTCCCTGCCCGCCGCCGCCACCCCGCCGCGGGTCCCACCGCGGAACACAGGTTGAGTGATGATGACTCTCCGACGGAGCTCTCTTCACCTCCTCCTCTTTTTCCCCCGGCCCGGCCGTCGCCAAGAAACTTTGGCCCGGGAAATATGAATTAGGCCGGCGGGGCGCGCCGAGCAGGACAGCAGGAGGGAAGTGAGGAGGGGAGGGCATTGATAAGGGGGACATCGGGGCGGCCGGGACGGCGCGGTGATGGAGCGAGGCACCTGCTCGACCTGCTCTGTCCGCGCCGACCCAAGGTATCGGTCGTAGCAACCTGCGGTTACAGGTATCGACTTTTCGATTGCAGCTGTCGAATTCAGCCCATCGAACAAAGTTGACCGACAAAGTATTTATATTCGTGCAAGAAAAGTTTTTGCGAGAGACCGAAGCACGCCACGGCGACTCGCTCCGCCCGTGTCGCTCAAAGGCGAACACACTTTTGCGTGTTCTTTTTCCATCGAAATAATCGCTCGGCTGGATATTATTATGCTGCTAAAACGATGAATGTCGGCGGACAAAACGAGCGCGCACAATAACGGGGACCGCCAGGTCCAGGACGTCCAGGACCGGGACCGGGGTCGCTCTAATAAAATGGGGACGGCGCGCCCGCCGTGGCGCCGTGGCGCCGTGGCGGTGCGGCGAGCTTAAAGGAGAGACAAAGCGCGGTGGGGCGGCCAGGGGTGGGGGCCGCGCTGTGCGTAGCGCCGAGTGCGTGGGGAGGGAGGCCCGGGGGGTGGCGCCGCGCCGCGGCAGTGCGTAGGGCAGGGCCGGCAGGGCCGGCAGGGCGTAGGACCGAGGGCCCGTGCCAAGGGATGCGAAGGGCTGCCTCGCGGGCCGGCGGGGGCGGTGCGGGGGCGGCGCGGGGGCGGCGGGGTAGTCGAAGGGCGCGTAGGCTCGTGCGGCCACCTCCTCGCCGGGCTGCGCGCCGCCTCGCCCGGCCCTTCGCCGCACTGCCGATGTAAGGCCACCCCGCCGGCCCCGTTACTTTGGGGGTCGCGGCGTTGTAAGCGCGGCGCAAGCGCGCTGTAAACGCGGCCCGGGTGCCGGCAGCTCGGCGCCGCGCCACCGCCACCCCGGCGTGTGGGGTGTCTACGGAAAGGGCTCGCCGAGCCGGACGTGAGCGAAGGGCCAGGGCGGACCCAGGACGAGTTTCAAAACATTGGTACAAACATTCCAGACGCAATTATGTACTTTGAGCTTCCAGAAATTTGACATTTGAAAATGGAAAGAAAAATATGGAACTCTACACCCCCTCCCTAGTCTTAATAGAGAGGCCTCCTGCTTTAGTTTAGTGTTCGGGATGGGAACCGGTGCTTCGGGTACCTGGGTTAATCCCGTCGGCGACACAAGCGTTCGCCGGGGGTCCCAGTAGGGCCCTAAGCTCAGACAGCTGGGTCGGAGCACCCAGTGTGAAGCTCGTGATAGGCGGGACGTATAGTAAGACGAAAGAGAGACAAGAGAGAGAGAGAGACTCAGACAGAGAAGAGTTTTGGTGGGAGCTTTTTGTTTTCACGGGGTTGGTTGAGTACCACAGATAGCCCTGCTGCCCGGCGCTCCCGTACCGAAGATACAGCGATCAAGGGCCAGCTTCAAAGGACTTATCATCGCCTCCCCGACGAATCAAAGAGGCCCCACCCGCAACCACACATCGGGTGGCTGGATTGATGGATCATATACTCCATCGCTCCAATGCCGAGGCCATGGCCGAGGCCAACCCGCCTAAGCGGATTGATTTTTAGACACCCGGTATAGTGGCCAGGTTAATGTGACTCTGACCACTACGCTATCACGCCAAACGTCTACCCGAGTGTTGGACGACGGGTTTGAGTTGCAGCGGGAGGAAAATGGAATGAAATGTCGGGAATCGATCCCAGGATCCCACCACCGAAATCACACGCCTTTTCGCTCTCGGGCACCACGGGCCATGACAACGGGATGGCGTGAGGCAGGTTCTTGAAGCAACATGGTTCGCCCGACCCGGTTAAAATTTGGTAAGAAATTAGGGGAATCGTACCGCCGACCCCAGCATGGAGAACCGTCGCCTCAACACTCTAGACGCTCTAGACCACCACGGCTCTTACCTGAGACCGTCTGCTGTCACGGGTTTGAACCACACTGCGTGAGGCAGTAACATTAAAATGTTAATTTTAATTTGTTTAATATTTGTTGAACACGTCTCTAACCTCTCGCCTATCACAGCATTTGTGATTCGTGATGGTGGAATTGTTCCTATCATCTGTAAGAAGAGGCTGAAGAGGCCGTCAGACTTACGAAATTACGTGCAGCAGGACTCTGGCGGGAGAGCTCGGCAGGGTAATCACTCTCCGCGTCGCTCTGGCTGCATTAATGGAACGCTCCGCTGGCATCTCACCGCTGACCCGTTCCCGCTTCCAGTGCACACACAGTGCACACGGCGAGGCGCAGTGTTGTGTTTGCTCACGGCCCAGCCTTCAGCGCGGATGGCAGTGGAGTGCCGAGAGCGCGCAACAAGAGTCCCCCTTCCCTTCCCCTCCGCAGCGCTCCGTGGCGCGGGGGCATTCAGCCTGCGAAGTCCGGGGTAGGCCGGCCCGCCGAGCACGCGCGTCCACCGGGTGGCCTAGCCTCCGGTCGGCGGGCGCCAGGCTGCCTGCGCACCGATTCCAGAGAGTCGTCGTGTCCTCGTCCTCGTCCTCGCTATCTCTGTCGGACTCTTGGGGGTCCCGTTGGGAGAGAGAGAGAGGCAGAGCTGCCCCTTGCAGCGAGGCCGGTCGAGGCCAGTGCAGTCCCTCGTTACGAAAGCTGGAGTGTCATCATCATTAGTAGTGGGCCGTGGCCATTGTCCGCTCTGTCTCCGTCGCTCTCTCGCACCCAGGACTCGTCACCACCGCCATGGCGCGCCATCTCCGGGGCTTGCCCGGCCCGCCGCGCCGACTGCCCGGACTGATGCTCCGGCCGAAAGCGCGAAGGATACTGCCGGCACTCGGCAAGGTCAGCCGGCCGAGCAGTTCCGAGGAGTCGTTTCGTCGCTCTATCTCTGTCGTGCACTCCTGGCGCGTGCCGCGGGGGTGCGACAGAGCGAGAGCGGCGAAACGATCTTTCGGAATGGCTGGGGGAGACCCGCCCGGCCGGGTCGGGCGGCTGTAAAGTTTGGACGCGATGCCGAAAACACGGCGCTGGGGTAAAGTGCCCCCCCCCCTTTCCTTTCCCGCTGGTGCTAACTCCGAGGCCGCGAAATAATTCGAGTAATCCCTCCGCAAAGTGGGCCTGGTTGGTGGTCGCCGCCTCACAGCTCGCACCTTGTTGGTGGCGTTGACGCTGGCGCCGCAGTTGATGAGCATCTTGACGGCGTCGCTGTGGCCGTGCCAGGCCGCCATCAGCAGCGGACGCATGCCGTACTGCAACAGCAAGGTGAGGGGCTGGGTGAGTCGCCGAGGACGTCGCCGAGGACGTCGCCGAGGACTACACGCACGGCGTCGTCGCCTACCTTGTCCTTGGCCTCGATGTCGCACTTGGCCGCGATGAGCATGTCCATGATCTCGGTGGCGCCGCGCGAGGACGCCCAGTGGATGGGGGCGCGGCCGTACTGCAAACGAATAAAGTTTATTATTGAAACGTCCCTCCGTCCTCGGCCCGCCCCTTCCTCCACGCTGGCGGCCACGACTTGTGTATTGGCCGGGCCGCCACAAAGCCCCGGCCGTCCACTGCAAAAAGAAGTCGCGAAAGAACGGCACCGCAACGCAGGTGAGGGAGAGAGAGAGACAGAGCGACTCTCGGAATCAGTCCACAGGACGGCCGCGGCGTTGGAATCGACGGTGGTCGCGATGCAGACTGACTCCGGCAGTCATTTTCGTCGTCCTATCTCTCTCGCACCTACACGGGACGGCCCATGGGTGCGAGAGGGACAGAGCGACGAAAACGACTCTCGGAATCGGTCTGCTGGAGCACAGCAGAACGCAGCGCGCCACGGGGCGGCGCATTCCGACTGGCTGTGGTGGGTTTTGGGTGTGTGTGTGGGGGGGGGGGGGGGCAGGACCGCGGCGCTCTGCGCTCATTATCGGCAGCCGGATCATCCGTTGTCCGCGGCGGCCGCGGCGGCCGCGAGCAGAGTCTCCCAGAGGCGGATCCAGAGCGCCGCGGTGTTGAAACTGAGCCCCTTCCTCCCCTCGCGGCAAAATCGTTATTAACAGCGGCCCGGTGGTGCCTATCTCCGCGCACCGTGCTGCCCCCGGCTGTAAGGGGGGGGGGGCCTCCGCGTCCTGCAGGCACTTCCAGCCTCTTTTCACGCTCGCCAGGCCCGCCGCCCCCGCCCCCATATTCCCAGTCGCCATAAACTACGTCCCTACGACGCCGAGGGCGTCAAGCGGCCACGCCGCCAGCCGCCACCGCCAGCAGCCGCCGCCACCCCCGCGGCCCCCGGCCGCCCCCGGCGACCGGCCGAAGTCAGCGAGGTAAATGCATTTCGGGGGGCGGCTCAAAGCAGCCGGAAATTGGTTACCAATGCCTGCCAGCTGCTGGAAAACACCGGAAAAAAGAAAACAAGAAGCGTGTCGCGCGCGCTGGGCGCGGGGCCCGGCGGGGCGGGGCGGGGCGAGGCGGGGCGCCAACTCCAGGCGGCCGCCCGTCACGCGGTGCGCGCCCTAAGTTTTGCGCGCCAAAGTTTGAACGCGTTTCGATTGTACAGCCCAAGAGGGAAATCGGTTTGTAAGTTCGTTTGAGTTTCGGGATTTTGACGTGCGTATTGAAGCCGCAAACCAGCACCGGTGTGGGACGATGGATGCACCCCACGATGATTGTACCGGGGTACAGCCGCGATGGTTGTACCCACGGCAGTCCACACGTCGGGGGTACAGCTGTCGCGCGATGGTTGTGCCCTTCTAAAATACGATCGGAAGAGGGTACAGTACAGCCCTGGCGCGATTGAACGTGAACGTACCCCCGACGTGAAGCCTGCCGGGGTGGGTACAACCATCGTGCGGTGCACTTCTCCAAATGGTGCATTCATGGCACGACACCACCACGAGCAGCACCCGGCAGCACCCCACTCGGTCGCCAACTGTGCAGTTTGCTTTCCTCGGGCACACGCCCAGCACCTGGCGCAATGCAACGCCGTGCTAAAAGCCAATCTGAGCTCGACCCTGGTTGGATTATCGTTCGTCCTGCACTACTCACGTTGTTCCTGCAGTTGACGTCCACGGGCTCCTTGAGGATCTTGCGCACCGCGTCCGGGTCGTTCTTGATGACGGCCTCGTGCAGCAGCAGGTCGTTCTTCAGCACGGTCGCCGACACCACGGCTGCGGCCAGAAACAAAAGAGTTACCACTCTCGGCAAAAGCACCAAAGTCTCAGCAGGATTCTGTTCTGTCTGTACTGTTTCAACGTCGGGTGGTGGACGGGGCCGTGGCCGGCCGTGGCAGTGTAGTCGTCCGCGCGCCCGTCAAGCACGCGGACGGACACTCCGGCAGCACACCGCAATCCGCCGCAATCCCAGAACGAGGCCGCACGTCGAACGGCAAACAGTGCAGCAGACAGCACAGAGCGGCCGCCACTGCTATTGACACGTCCACTCGCGCGCACGGCGCACGGCACGCACGTGCTCTCACCTGCCCCCTCGTTACAGTGTGGCAGTCGACGTTCGCGGCAGATACGATCGGAGTGGGCGGCAGCCACGGCGGCAGCGAGCGGACAGGAGGGAGCGCCCTACACTTAGGCAGCCCCTCCGACTCGCCGCGCTTGTACTGTCCGTCTGTCTGTCTGTCTGTCTGTCTGTCTGTCTGTCTGTCTGTCTGTCTGTCTGTCTGTCTGTCTGTCTGTCTGTCTGTCTGTCTGTCTGTCTGTCTGTCTGTCTGTCTGTCTGTCTGTCTGTCTGTCTGTCCGTCCGTCTGTCTGTCTGTCTGTCTGTCTGCCTGTCCGTCCGTCCGTCCGTCCGTCTGCCTGTTTCGTCCTGTCTGAAGCGCGGGAATCGGGGCGCGGCCCGGCACGGCCCGGTGACTCGCAGCGGGCGAATTAAAAAGGGAAGCCATAAATTGGCCGGGCGGAAGGAGAACGGTAAATCGGGGAACACGGCCCGGGCTGATTTCGAGGGTCGTTTTCGTCGCTCTGTCTCTCTCGCTCTCATGGGGCGTCCCGTCGAGGTGCGAGAAAAAAGAGTCATGAAAACGACTTTCGGAATCAGTCTGCTGGAGGGGGATGCGGTTCAGCCCCAGCCGCCGCGGCAAGGTGTGGGTGCCATGAAAACGAAAGGAAAATTTTCGGGTTCCGAAACCTGTGAACTGATTTCCAAACCTGCGGGTCCGCTATTAAATCCTTTCAAAAGTATTTACCCCTCGTGGATCTGATACAAAAGACCGCTTGGCTGAGCTAAGCCTGCCGGGGTTTTTTGTCCGAACGCCCTCTTGGCCCCGGCGGCCCCGGCGGCCCCGGCCCTCCTCGTGTCGCCACAAAGGGCACTCTTCACACACCCCTTCCTTTGTCCCGACCTATTATCGATTTATGGCGCCAAAGAGCTCTAGCACTCGGGCGGGCCGGGCCGGGCCGGGTCATGTTTGGGTAATAGCGCGCCGAGGTCTCGACCGCGCACCGCGGCACCGCGCCCGGGCAGGCGCGGCAGGCATGCACAAAGTTCGGCATGTGTCTGAACTTTGCACAGCCCTCGCGCCGAACGAGGGCGCCGTTTTCCCCACCACGACAAAAGGCCAGAAGCGAGTCGGCTCGACTGAAGTTGTTACGGTCCGAATTAAAAGCGCGGTCGCATTCGACCTCCGCGCGCCGGGCGGCCGAGGCAGGCGACCGCAGCAAACTCGGATTTGGCTTTGATGAACCATTCCGACACAAATGAGAGAGCTCGCCTCTGCTGCTGCGCCGCGAGGACGACGCGGACACGGCCTCCTCGTCGCTGGGCGGGTCGGCGCCGGGCGTGAGCACGGCCAGGGTGGCCCTGCGCTGCTTGAGCGCCGAGGCCGAGGCGCCGAAGGCCGCGAAGCTGGAGCCGTACGCCTCGCCGTCCGACAGCCGCTCCTCCAGCTCCAGGCGGTGCTGGTCCAGCCGCTGCGGCTCCAGCAGCTGACGGTCGTCCATGGCTCCAGTCTGCAACAACACAAGACGAGGGTTGGAGAAACCGCTTCTCTCGTTGTTCTCGTTCCGGAACGACTGTGGGCCGGTCCGCATCCATCCTTCCAGCCCTTGCCCGGGCTTATCCTTGCCCGGGCTTATCCTTGCCCGGCCGTGCGCGCCATGTCAAAGCGGCGTTCCGTCTCTCTCGCACTCATGAGGCGTCCCACTCAGGTGCGAGAGAGACAAGGACCCTCGGAATCAGTCCGCAGCCTCCGTCTGCCGCGAGACACTGATCGAGAGGAACAAAAGCCCAATCGATTCGATTCGCGAGCACGGCCGCCACTTACAAGGGCCGCGTTTTCACTCTCCCCCCTCCCCCTCCCCCACCCCTTCAGGCCGTGCACTTCAATCTCGCAGCAGAGCCTCATCCGTCGCGTCCATATCCCTGATGAGATTTCAAGGACTCTCAGTGAAGGTACAAAAAAGTCGAGCAATGTCACACACACACTTCGACGAAGGACGCGAGGTGGAGGGGCGCGGCGGCGCGGCGAGGCCAAACCACGTCCGCAGCCGAAGCACTGGCGTTAGTTCCGCCATCTGCCGACTGATTCCGAGAGTCGCTCTGTCTCTCTCGCAGCCTTGGGGGGCGCCCCATGAGTGCGACGGAGACAGAGCGACGAAAGGAAGCTTCGGAATCAGCCGGCTGTGGTGGTGAGTGTGTGTGGGAGAGCGAGAGATATAGAGACCATGCAGCCCATTGTCTGATTGGTCCAAAAAAAAATTGCTGTGATATAAGAGCTGGACGGGGGAGGGGGCAAGCTGGTGGGTACGTCATCCAATACGGTGCCCGCCATAATTTTACCCCCCCCCCCTTCCCCCGGGGGGCACGTGTTACATGAGACTGCGTTTCTCTTTCGCGTTTTTATTTGTCAAGCACGACGGTGGCGCCATTCGTTCTGCGAACGGAGGCGGCCGAATTAGGTTGCCGATTCACACTCTGATGAAGCCACTCTGCCGCGCCCGATCCAAAAAGGAAGGGGAAGGGAAGCGCGTCTGTTAAAGACGGGCCGCGCACGCAACACCCGCCGCACTGTTTCTCTTTTCCAGAGTGTGTCGACCGGCGTCGACGCGGTGCTGCGCCCCCGGCCACGCCGCCGGCCACAGCGTCGCGGTTGGTCACGGCCTCCACCGCAAAACGCACGCGCTAACAGGAATGGAGCGCTGTCCAGTTGCCTGGAAATGGACTCGCTCAAAGGGCGGGCTCTGCGGACGGGGCGTTGGCAGCGCGTGCAGCGGGAGCAGCCCGCCTGGGGACGGCGACCGCCGGGCGGCGTGGTTTCCGGGAATCACTCTTTCATGCCGAGCTCTTCGACGAACCACAAACCCCGGGCCGGACGCTGCGCACGCTGCGACGCATCGTTTGACGGATGCGCGCACGCATGCGTGCATGGAGAGCGGCCAGAGCGGCCAGAGCGGCCGAGCGGCCAGAGCGGCCGAGCGGCCAGAGCGGCCGAGCGGCGTGTTCCACGTAAACTCTAGTATAATGCATCTGTACGTCAAGAGGACTTTTCAGCAGGCCAGGTCGGAATGGCTGTTGGTTGTTGGTGCACTCTGGCCGGGCCTAAAAAAAGAAACTCCGAGAGTGTGCCCGGCGCTCCATGCGCTCAATGATTGATGTTTCGTTTGGGGCGGCGAGGCTGGCGAGGCTGGCGAGGCTGGCCGGGCCTGGCGATGGGAGGCCGCAACCCGCCAACCCCAACTCGGACTGCAGCTGTGGGCTGCTGTGAGCGGGCGGCAGACGCCTGGCCCCGCCTGGCCTCGCCGAGCGTCGTGTTGCTGGCTGGAAGCACTCTGGTGGTAGTGCACTGTGGGCGGTCGGAACTTCCTCGTGAGCAATCCAGCGAGTTGCAGCGGGATCGGACGCGCGCCGGGCCCGGCAGCAGCGCCACTGACTGCACCAGTAACTTTCCTAGCTAAACAGACGCACCGCGCTGGGTGAACTAATAGCAGTCCTCGTGATTTCTCTTTCCACGGCAAGCCTGTGCTTTTAGTCCCAGTTCCCGACCATTTTGAAAAACAAGAGTCCTAACCACTGGTGGCACATTCAATCTGACGGGGCTGCCTCGAGAGGAAAAACACTCTTCGTCTCTTCGGACCTGAGTGTCCGAAGCCAAGGGTCGCGTTTCTCCGGCCCTCCCCTTCCCCCTCTCCCTCTGGCGAAGATATTGCTCCGTGTGCGGACGTCTGGACGACCTGAGGAACAGCCAGCTCGGTGGGGCGGCGGGGCCTCCAACACTGTCGCGTGTAACATTGTACGGCGTTTCCTTCCTCTTTTTTGTGTGGGTGTCCCCGTGCAAAACCCTTCTCCCTCGCCGTGTCGCTCTGTCGCTGTGCTTGAGCCACGCCCGCGCCTCGCCCGGCCTCGCCACTTCGTCGCCTTGCCCCGCTTCGCCGCGCCTTGCTCAGCTAGATTCATTGTCGCTGCAGCACGGCAAGCTCTGCAAGCTGTGCTGACGGGCGATTAAAATTCCTGCCGCCCGGAATCTGGCCGCGTCTCCGCCCACTCCACAAGGACGGCGGAGGGGCGGCGGAGGGGCGGCGACGGGCGGTGAAGGGGCGTCCTCGGCAGCTCATCACGCGTCGCGACGACATTAACACCGCCCTCGCCGTCGTGCCAAGTGCCGCCGCGCCCGATTCACCAGCACGCCTCTCGTGGATCATTCCTTTGCTACCCTTCCCGCGGCGCAGTGGGCACCGCGTCAGGGCGCGGGACTAGAGGAACGGGTTCGAGTCCCCACCGGGTCGCGGCCTTTTCTATACTCTGCGAATGCGGACGGGAAAGATTAACATCGGGATGCAACGGGTTCAAGGTTCAAAGGGCGGCTGGAGCACACCATGCAGGAGAGCGCCTAGCCTAGGCGCCCTGGAGCCTGGAGCAGCCCTGGAGCAGCCTCGAGCAGCCTCGCGAGCCCCGAGCGGGAGGTCACCCTCAGTAAGACGGATGGCGGACAGCGCGTCCCGGAGCGCCTCTCTGCCTGCCTGCCTGCCTGGCTGCCTGCCTGGCTGCCTGCCTGGCTGCCTGGCTGCCTGCCTGGCTGCCTGCCTGGCTGCCTGCCTGGCTGCCTGCCTGGCTGCCTGCCTGGCTGCCTGCCTGGCTGCCTGGCGGTGCCACGCGCGTGCTGGGACCTGGGCCGGGGAGGCCAGAGCCAGACAGCCAGACAGGCGGACAGCAAGATAGGGGCTCTCTTGCGAAGCGGCGCGCTCCGCCAGCCCCGCTACCCCTCCAGCGCTCACGCCAGGGTGGACAGGCAGGCAGGAAGGAAGGGGATCCAAAACAAGCTGCGCCGTGCCGTGTGCCGCGTCTGCCGGGTCGCTGCAGCCCGCCCCGTCGTCTCCGGGCCAATCTGTGTCATCCCCTGCGACGCGAATATAAGCGGCCTGCCCGAGGGGCGGGGGAAAGAGGGGGGAGGGGCATCGCAGAGTGGAGGAGCGGGCTTGCCATGCTGCTCCCAAAAGAAACACCGGCGGCGGGGCAACGAGATTTAATTTGCACTGGAAAATCGGGCGCAAATTGGGCGCTCCACTGGGAGTCAGCAAGTGCTGGAAGCAGCCTGGAAAGCTGCTGGAACGGAATAACGATGCCGGGCTGCCTCGCCCTGTTTGTCCGGGAGGTTCGTGTTCGTGCGCTGCGGGCGTCTCTCAGCCACCACGCCGTCGAGCCGCCGCCAAACAGGTGGCTGGCTGCTCGGGCTGGCTGCTCGGGCTGGCTGCTCGGGCTGGCTGCTCTGGCTGGCTGCTCGGGCTGGCTGCTCGGGCTGGCTGCTCTGGCTGGCTGCTCTGGCTGGCTGCTCGGGCTGGCTGCTCGGGCTGGCTGCTCGGGCTGGCTGCTCGGGCTGGCTGCTCGGGCTGGCTGCTCGGGCTGGCTTCTGCGGACTTATCCCGTTGGCCCTTTCTGCCTCGAAGCTCGCTTAGCTTCTCGCCCGGCCGACTGCCTGACTTCGGACCTAGTCCGGTCACTACTTGGTGTTCAAACAGGGCGCACGTAATCCCCCGCAGACCGACAGCAGCCAGCGTGGGCAAACACATACGCACACACGCGCACACACACACACACACACACACACACACACGCGCGCATACATACATACACACACGCACAGCACGAGCGGTGCGGCTTGGCAGGTGTGCAAAATTACACGCAAATAGGAGAGAAGTGACTCTCCGCGGTGAATAATGAATCCGATCGGACAGACAAAGGGTTGTTGCTGGCTCGGCGCGGCGCTTGGCGCGCCCGGCCGCCCGGCGCACACTCGCAGGGCCCGCAGGCACAGCCATTGTTCCGCTTACCGTTCGCGGCGCCCCCACGCCGCCCCCACGCCGCCCCCACGCCGCCCCCAAGCCGCCTCCACGCCGCCCCGCGAGCAGAAGGAAACCGAGGCTCTCCTTGCTGGCGCATTCATGAGCCAAAATCTAAAGGAGAGATGGCTGGAACCGCTATGGAACGGGTCTAGCTAGGACAACTCGTCCCAGTCGACTCGTTCCGGAGCAAATGCGTTCCCGGGTTATCTCATTCCCCCAGCTGGGCCCGTCCCAAATCGTCCCAAATTTAAAAAGAAAATTGGGTCACATTAATTTTATTGGTCTCTTTGTCGAGGGGTGAATCACTCAGCTTTCTGGTGTACACATGAGTACATGAGTACGGGTGAATACACCTTCTAACACTCACAAATTTCACATTTTAAACGTTTTTTTGGCTTGTTTTAACGGTTAAGATGACACACAACGCCAAATCGTGTAAAAACTGAGCGAATTTTGCTCTTTTTAAACTTGTGAGTACACTGAGTACAGGCTAATTTGTACACATGAGTACGCTTGTGATTCACCCCTCGCTCTTTGTCCTAAACCCTCCTGTTTAGAGGCGTCCAGTTACATTCTGGCCAATCGCCCTCAAGTAGGCCAAGACGTCGCCGTCCTCCTTGAACTCGCCGTAGCGGGCCTGGATTCTGGCGATGCGTGCGTCAGTT